CTATCATCTGACTTACACTCTTGATGTTGATCTTCTTCACCTGGGTGAGGTAGTATTTGTCAGGTTTCTCCACTGTAAAGTTCCTCTTTGTCTTCTCTTTCCATAGCGTCCTCTTTGGAAGGAAGTCACTATGTGCAGCCCACACTGAGAGTGGGGATTTATGCTCCCCCTCCTTGAGGAGTATCTATAGAAATTATCTGATATGGCCCAGCGTGGTGGCTCAGGCCTGTAATCCCAACACTTTAGGAGGCCGAGGTGGGCAGATCACTTGAGGTCAGGAGTTCAAGACCAGCCTGACCAACATGGAGAAATCCCATCTCTACTAAAAATACAAAATTAGCCAGGCGTGGTGGTGCATGCCTTTAATACCAGCTACTTGGGAGGCTAAGGCAGGAGAATCGCTTGAACCCAGGAGGCAGAGGTCGCACCATTGCACTGTGGCCTGGGCAACAAGAGCAAGACTCCATCTCCAAAAAAAAGAAAGAAAAAGAAATTATCTGATGTTCTTCTGCACAAGAGATTTGTCTAGTTGCTCCTATTTATTTAATAACAAGTCTATAAGGACTCATGGATATTCACTTTATACTTTGGGCTATATTTCACTACTACTTGGTTGGTCAAATGATTCCATCTTGGCCCATGGAAGCCTTTCATTTTGCTCCTTTGTCTCTGAGGTACTCCCATTTGTGACTTGTTTTTTTCATTTGTTTTGAATATTTCCTTACTTTCTGGAGCTACAAGATACTCCAGGCCCATCTTGTATATTTCCTGCCTCAGTCCTAGAAATCAGCCATTTCTCCATAGATCCTTGGTTGCATTTATTGTGGAATGGTATTGGAAATTAAGATCTGGGCACTAGATATGTTCATTGCTACTGGAGTGTTGTTGCATCTATGTCCTCTCAGCTGACAGAGCAAGGAAATATATGTGTGTATACTAACCCATGTATATGGACATATGAACAAATATTTCTATATGTAATCATCTGTATCCATATTAAATTAAACATGTGGTCATACTAATATATTCAACTCTAGTGCATTACCACATGGATCATTCTAGCCCTTTTCCCTTATGTGTAAACTCCCACTACAACAGTTGGAAACCTGACTCCCACTATCTGCCATTCATTTACTTGTTTGATTCTGTATACACAGGTAGGAGTATAGCCCTGTTAACCTATACTCCTGTGGGAAACAGCTTTATCAGCCAGAGTCCAATGCCTGTGTACAGTTAGCTTCTTTGCCTTTAGTTTACAGACTCCACTCAGTTAAAGCGACTTAGGTCAGCACTTTGTTTCTCACCACGTTCAGTGAACCGGTTTCATACATTTGTAACGTAGTTTTATCACATTCTACATTCCATCCTCAGATTCCCCCAACCTCCTAAATTATTTCTAAAAATATTTGCAAACATGAAGCTTCTGTTGTAAACTTCAGAAAACATGAAGTTCTGTTGTACTTTTGACTAATGCATAGTGTCATGCATCCACAATTCTAGTTTCATATAGACTAATTTTATTGCCCTAAAAAACTTCATGTGTTTCAGCTATTCAGTACCTCCCTGCCCCAAAACTTGGTGGCTGTTGATCTTTTTATAAAGTCTCTGTACTTTTGCCTTTTCCAGAATGTCATATAAATGAAATCATATAGTATATAGCTTTTCCAGACTGACTTCTGTCACTTAGCAATATTTATTTACGTTTCATTCATGTCTTTTGTGTTTTGATAGCTTATTTCATTTTATTTCTGAATAACATTTCATTGTGTGGATATATCACAATTTGCTTATCCATTCACAGATTGAAGGACATCTTTGTTGTTTAAGTTTTGGGGATTATGAATAAAGTTGCCATAAACATTTGGGGGTTATGAATAAAGTTGCCGTAAACATTTTGTATGGACAGTTTTCAAATCAGTTGGGTATTTATTGCTGGATTATAGAGTAAGACTATGTTTAGCTTTGTAAGAAATTGCCAAACTGTCTTTCAAAGTGGTTGTAATATTCTGTATTCTCTTCAAGATACATATTTTTAAAATTTTAAATCACACAAATAACTGCTGTTACCAAATTCCAGTTATCTAAAAATCAAACAACCAACCACCAAAAAAATGAACGAGGGGACCAGGTGTGGTGGCTCACGCCTGTAATCCCAGCATTTTGGGAGGCCAAGGCAGACAGATCACGAGGTCAGGAGCTCGAGACCATCCTGGCTAACATGGTGAAACCCCGTCTCTACTGAAAATACAAAAAAAAATTAGCCAGGTGTGGTGGTGGGTGCCTGTAGTCCCAGTTACTTGGGAGGCTGAGGCGGGAGAACGTAGTGAGCTGAGACTGCGCCACTGCACTCCAGCCTGGGTGACAGAGCGAGACTTGGTCTCAAAAAAAAAAAAAAAAAAAAAAAAAGTATGTTTTGCCCACAGGCAGGCAGTTAATAACCGCTCCAGATGTTAGACCAATGTTTTTCAATACAACTTCTGTGCTGATGGAAATGCTATATATCTGCTTTGCCCAACTGAATAGCAAATTACAATATTTCAAGTGGCTATTAAGCATTTGAGATGTAGCTAGCAAGACTGAAGATTGAATTTAAAAATTTTATATTATTTTAATTAGGTTCAAATTTACTCACAGGTGGCTAATGCCTATCATATTAGATGGCACAGTTCTGAGTCATTGTAAGAATTTTGGGTTTACTTGATTGAGATGAGAAGTTGAGGAGGATTTTGAGCAAGACCGTGGAATGATCTGACTGACTTTTCTTATTTTAAGAGATGATAGAGTCTTGCTCTGTTGCCCAGGCTGGAGGGCAGTGGCTATCATAGTGCATCGCAGCCTTGACCTCCTGGGCTCAAGCAACCCTCCTGCCTCAGCCTCCCAAGTAGCTGGGACTACAGGTGCGCATTACTGCACCTGGCTGACTTACATTTTAAAAGTATCACTTTAGGCTGGGTGCAGTGGCTCACACCTGTAATCCCAGCACTTTGGGAGGCCGAGGCAGCCAGATCACCTGAGGTCAGGAGTTTGAGACCAGCCTGGCCAACATGGCAAAACCCCATCTCTACTAAAAATACAAGAATTAGCCAGGCGTGGTGGTGCACACCTGTAGTCCCAACTACTTGGGAGACTGAGGCAGGAGAATCGCTTGAACCCAGGAGGTGGAGGTTGCAGTGAGCCAAGATCATGCCACTGCACTCCAGCCTGGGCAGCAGAGCATGAATTTGTCTCAATAAAATAAAATAAAATTAAAATAAAGTATCACTTTAGATGCTATGTTAGGAATAGACTGAAGGAGTCATGGGTAGGAGCAGAGAGACTTGTTGGAAGTCTACTGCAATAATCTAGAAAAGAGATGACAGTGGCTTGGACCAGGGTGATGGTAGTGGGCATGGAGAGAAGTCATCAGATTCTTGACTTTTTTGAAGTTAAGGCCTATCTATGCAAGGTAAATATTTGCCAAATACTTACTGTATTTGTGACAAAGGCCATGGAATTAAAAATTCTTACTGTTTGCAGCCTCATTTTTCTTATTCCATCTTTCATTTTCTTTAAGCCACTGAGTATGGTAATAGTAAGATTTCAGCCCTCCTGCTCTAGAGGTACCATGTTAAAACCTGATTGGATTTCTGAGTGGTTTCCTTTGTCTTATTTTCAGGAGAATGATTCTGTGCCTTACCTTCAAGCTGCCACTACAAGTGTAGGGCTGGAATAAAGATGCACACTTTTCGTTCTTAATTTTAAAATAATTTTTTATGCATCCACTTTTTAGGTTCCATAAAAATAATTACTACCATGGTCATGGGTCATAGATGAGTAAGTGGGAGAGAAGGGCCTGGCTGGTTTCTACTTGGGATCATATGTCAGCATTATTGGAATTCTGTAACCAGCACTGGTCCAATAGAAACATAACGTGTGTCTCTCGGCTGGGTGCGGCGGGCTCACGCCTGTAATCTCAGCACTTTGGGAGGCAGAGGCGGGCGGATCACCTAAGGTCGAGAGTTCAAGATTAGCCTGGCCAACATGCAGAAACACTGTATCTACTAAAAATACAAAATTAGCCTGGCCTGGTGGCACATGCCTGTAATCCCAGCTACTCAGGAGGCTGAGGCAGGAGAATTGCTCGAATCCGGGAGGCGGAGGTTGCAGTAAGCCAAGATCGAGCCATTGCACTCCAACCTAGGCAACAAGAGTAAAACTCCATCTCAAAAAAAAAAAAGAAAGAAAAGAAAAGAAAAGAAAAGAAAGAAAGAAAAGAAAAGAAAGAGAGAGAAAGAAAGAAAGAAAGAAAGAGAAAGAAGGAAGAAGAGTCACCTATGTAATTTAAAATTTTCTGATAGGCACGTTAAAAAGAGTAAAAGGAAACAGATGGAATTAATTTTAATAATATATTTTATTTAATTCAATGTATCCAAAATATTATCATTTCAACATGTAATCAATATAAAAATTATCAGTGAGATATTTTACATTCTCTCTTCTTTGAAATTTGGAATGCATGTTATACCTACAACACATCTCAATCCAAACTAGCCACGTTCAGGTGCTGATTCACCACAGGTGGCTGGTGGCTACCGCATTAGGTAACACAGCTGTAAGCATATGTCAAGTTCAGATTTGGTGGAGGTAGGGTTGAGGAATTTAATTCCCATTGTCATTGATATCACAGACACTATTGTGGAATGAATCAAGATAATATAGTATGATGTGAGCAGTGGCTAGTCTTGTAAAACAAATGAAAGATAAACATACATCTCAGCTCTACGAAACTTAGACTGGAGCTGCCGGTCTGTGATATGTCTAGTAATATCTCCAGAATATATACTGAAATAAATTCCTCCTTAAGAAAATCAAATTGTCCTCTTTTCCCGCTTTGAGCCACCAGGAAGGCTTAACTTGAAATAAAGTGCTGGGATGGGACTTGCCCTAGAGGAGGCTTTAGTAATCTCATCAACCCTGAACTGGTAGGTCACCTGCCTAACTGTGTTTCCTGGATCTTTCAGCTAAGGCGGGTCTTTGGAAATTGCCTGCCACCCTTCCCACCAAAGTACTATTTGGCAATGACCACAGCTATGGCTGATGAGAGGAGGAACCAACTGGAACAATATTTGCAAAATGGTATGTATTTGCAGGGTTTTTTAAAAAACAGATTTATTGCAATGTAAGTTATATGCCACAAAATTCACCTGCTAAAGTGCACAAGTCAATTCTTTTACAATACATTTATGTAATTAATTGTGTGACCATTACCATAATCTAATTTTAGAATATTGTCATCACCCCCGAAAGAAACCTCATACCCATTGGCAATCACATCCTCTTTCCCTCCCCCACCAGGCCCTGGCAACTACTACTGTAATTTTTATCTCTAAAGATTTGCCTATTCTGGACATTTCATATATAAGGGATCATATAATATGTGTTCTTTGTATTTGGCTTTAAAAATACTTTTTTTTTTTTTTTTTTTTTTTTTAAAGAGATGAGGTCTGGCTGGGCATGGTTTCTCACACCTGTAATCTCAGCACTTTGGGAGGCTGAGGCAGGAGGATCACTTGAGGCCAGGAGTTCAAGATCAGCCTGAGCAACATAGAGAGAACCTGTCTCTAAACAAAATTTTAAAAATTAGTCAGGTATGGTGGTGCGTGCCTATAATCCCAGCTACTCAGGAAGCTGAGGTGGGAGGATTGCTTGAGCACAGGAGGCTGAGGCTGCAGTGAGCCATGATTGCTCCACTGCACTCCAGCCTGGGTGACACAGCAAGACAGTGACTCTAAAAAAGATCAAAAACAACAACAACAAAAAAATAGATGAGGTCTCACTATGTTGCTCAGGCTGATATCAAATTCCTGGGCTCAAGTGATCCTCCTGCCTCAGCTTCCTAAAGTGTTAGGATTACAGGTGTGAGCCACCACACCCAACTTAAATGTCTCAGCAGTTATATACTTGCTGATTTTATTTTATTTTTTGAGACAGGATCTTTCCCTGTTGCCCAGGCTGGAGTGCAGTGGCACAATCATGGCTCACTATAGCCTCGATGTCCTGGGGTCAAGCAATCCTCCCACCACAGCTTCCCAAGAATCTGGGACTATATATGCAACACACCATGCCTGGCCAATTAAAAAAAAATTTTTTTTATAGAGATGGAGTCTCACTATATTGCCCAGGCTGGTCTCAAACTCCTGGCCTTAAGCAATCCTCCCATGTCAGCCTCCCAAAGTGCTGGAATTACAGATATGAGCCACTGCACCCAGCTAGTATTTATTTATTTATTTATTTATTTATTTATTTATGACAGAGTCTCGCTCTGTCGCCCAGGCTGGAGTGCAGTGGTATGATCTTGGCTCACTGCAACCTCTGCCTACCAGGTTCAAGTGATTCTCCTGCCTCAGCCTCTCAAGTAGCTGGGATTACAGGTGCTTGCCACCATGCTCAGCTAATTTTTGTATTTTTTTAGTAGAGATGGGGTTTCACCATGTTGGCCAGGCTGGTCTCCACCTCCTGACCTCAAATGATCCGCCCACTTCAGCTTCCCAAAGTACTGGGATTACAGGGGTGAGCCACCATGCCTGGCCTACTTTATGTATTGATATAATAATGTTCAATGTATCAAAATCAGGAAACAACATTGATACAATGATGTTCAATGTATCAAAACCAGGAAACAACATTGATACAGTAATTTATCTAGAGACCTTATGCAAACTTCAACAATTAGGCTAGGCATGGTAGCTCATGCCTGCAATTCCAGCACTTTGGGAGGTTAAGGCAGGAGGATCCCTTAAGCCCAGGAGTTCAAGGCCAGCCTGGGCAATATAACAAGACCCTGTCTGTACCAAAAAATAAAAAATAAACAAAAATTAGCTGGGTGTAGTGGCACGTGCCTGCATCTACTTGGAAGGCTGAGGTGGGAGGATTGCTTGAGCCCAGGAGTTTCAGGCTGCAGTAAACTCTTATCTTGCCACTGCAGTCCCTCCTGGGCAACAGAGAAAGACCCTGTCTCAAAAAATAAAGTCAGCAAACATAAAACTGCTGAGACATTTAGGCTGGGAGTGGTGGCTCACACCTGTAATCCCAACACTCTGGGAAGCTGAGGCAGGAGGATCACTTGAGCCCAGGAATTTGAGACCAACTTGGGCAACATAGATCTCGTCTCTTTTTATTTTTATTTTAGAGTCATTGTCTTGCTGTGTAACCCAGGCTGGAGTGCGGTGGTGCAGTCACAGCTCACTGCAGTCTCGACCTCCTGAGCTATGATTTGAGCAACTGCACTCCAGCTTGGGTGACAGATGGAGACCCTGTCTCTAAAAATAAATAAATAAAGCATCACCAACTATTATACTAATGTCCTTCGTAGCTCAAGAAAAAAGATTTTCTCCTGTATGTTGACTTTTTTCTCTTAAAATATATATCTTAGAGGTCATTCTACATCAGCAGTCATAGATTTATCTCATTATTTTTCATGGCTGCATCTTTTTCTTAAACATAGTACGTAAAAATTCTAGAAGCCACCTATTTCCCATTAACTTTTTTGTTTTGTTTTGTTTTTTCGTCATGGGACCATACTTCTTTTTAGACCTACTGAATGAGCTCTTTCAAAGTTCAAGTTCAAAATGTAATATCTTTTGAATTTTCATTCTCCCTTGGTTTGTTTTCTCATGTCTCAGCAAAATGCTCCTTTAATACCTGGCCTTTTTACAAGTTCTCACACTGCTTAAGGTTTTGCTTTTCCAGGACTGGTCTTTATTCTTATCAGAATGACTTGTGTACCCTCTTTGACAAGGTCAAGTAAGAAGACAGTACGGCTTCGCCTCATGACTCAGAGCACAGGTTCTAGAATCAGACCCAGTGTCAAATTCCACTTTAGTTCCTTACCAGCTGTGTGACCTTGGGCAAGATACCTACCTTCTCTGAGCCTCCGTTTTTTTTGGTCCATGAAATAGAAATAATTTACCTCAGAGTTTGTCATGAAGATTAGATAAGCTAAAATATACAAAGTTTTTAGCCTAGTACTGGTACTTAATAGTCATGCAGTAAATACCAGTTGGGTGAATACCTTTTTCAGCAGCTTTCCTCATTCCCAATAACTTATGCTGATGAATATAGCTATTCATAGTTTGACTATATGCCCCATTGCGGAAAATAATGCAAGGGCTTCCCCTCCTCCACCCTGGGCATTACCCCTCAGAAAAGACAGAATGATTTTTATAAATAGTTTCTCGTGTTGCAGGGACTTTCTATCTTCGTTTATTTTGAAAAACATGATGTCTTTTGGGAAAGGCACAGCCTGCAATGAAGTCAGTGATAAAAAATGCTGGTAGAGGATGTTTAATGAAATTAGTAAAACAGGCCGGGCATGGTGGCACATGCCTGTAATCCCGGCAACTTGAGAGAATGAGGCAGGAAATTGCTTGAACCTGGGAGGCGGAGGTTGCAGTGAGCTGAGATCACGCCATTGCACTCCAGCCTGGGTGACAGAGCAAGACTCCGTCTCAAAAAAAAAAAAAAAGAAAACAGTAATGAAAACAGAAGGAAGAAAGAAATTTGGCAGCATTTAGTAAGTATGTAACACAGGATATAGGAGAGGATCTGTGGCAAGGGGGGTGAACCAGGAGGAACCAGGCTGGGCCATACTTTGTGGGTTTGCAGTTCTCATGGGGGTGTGTCTGCCCCATCTGCTCTGCCCATATCTCCTGGCTATTTGTGTCAGGAGCTTTAAAACTAAGGGTGAAAATATTTTTGTTAAGTATAGAAGAATGAAATATTTTAAATCTCTCTGACTACCTTGTCATTGGTTTTTTTTTTTTTTTTTTTTTTGGTAACATCTTGAGAACTCCTATCATTCAAAGGGGTGCTCTTGGCTGGGCGCTGTGGCTCACACCTATAATCCCAGAATTTTGGGAGACTGAGTCAGGCAGATCACCTGAGTTTGGGCATTTGAGACTAGCCTGGCCAACATGATGAAACCCCATCTCTACTAAAAACACAAAAATTAGCCAGGCGTGGTGGCGGGTGCCTGTAACCCCAGCTACTTTGGAGGTTGAGGCAAGAGAATCACCTTAACCCAGGAGGCAGACATTGCAGTGAGCCAAGATCACATCACTACACTCCAGCCTGGGCGACTGGGTGAGACTCCAAAGAGGTGCTCTCAATCGATGTTTCTTGGTTGAGTTACATTTTCAAATTACCCTGTGTCTTGTTAGTCTGGGAGTCTAGATGTAGGTTTTAAGATCTTTCTGATTCTTCATATAAACTTCATTATCATCCTGGTAAGGCAACAAAATAGATGTTGAGTAGTATGGGTGTGTATAAATAAAGTGAGATGCCTGGGAACACTGTCACCCTGGATGGGTGTCATGAGTTCCTGTTGTTAAGGCTGCCTGTAGGAGGCAACCTTTGGGGGTTTTCCTGTATTTGAAAGGTTTCAACATTCATCACTTCAGGGAGGAGACAGAGCACTGGCAAGGCATGAGCGATCTCTAGAGGACACAGCAATTAATAGGCAAGGCCCAGCCCAGCTCATGCTAACCTGGCTCACCGTCCATATTTTTCAGTAACCATGGACCCAAACGTGTTGAGAAGTGATGTCTTCGTTGAGTTTTTAAAACTGGCACAGCTGGTAAGCTTGCTCTTCTTTAATGGGGCCATCATTCCTCTTCAGGACACTCTTCATGAACCATGTGTGCAGGTACACACACATGTGTGCACTGGCCACAGCCCCACAGAGCCTGGACTTGGGAAAATATATTCATTTCAAGTCAATTGGGGGATGGTTCCTATTTTGTTCTTTTGGAGGTTTAGACTTTAGATGGAAAGTGAAGTGTGTCACTTGACCTTTGGCTCATTTTATTAAGTAGATCCCTTTTTCTGTAGCCTAAGAATCACACATCTCAAAACAGGACATGAAGAAGAGGACCTTTGAGTATAGTACAAGAACTACAGCCTTTATCATTAAGGGTTCCCGTAACATGTCTCTGACCCTGCTTCTGTAGCTGAGATTTCCAAGTGGGCCACAGTGAAGACATCAGGAAAGCAGGCCATTCCGGCTATTCCTTGTGTATTCTCTACTTCTACCTTTATTGTAAATGAATCATGGAGAAAATTCAACATAAACAGAATGACATACAGCAACTCCCTTTCCTTTGTTGATCTAAAGAATCATGGGTCACTTGCTCCCTAGGCTGAAACTGTTAAGTACATTTGTTCAGAACAACACTCATTCTAACGGCACATAAAGAAACATTGTTATGCCTGTATGTATGAGCTTGGCTGGAAAAGCTCTGAAAGAATTGATGTTCTGCAGTAATATGATACTAGTTAACTGGATCCTTAGCCAGGGGAGGGAGGAAGGATCGGATTTGCAAAAACTGGAACACATTTCATTCATTTATTTACTCATTTATAAAATAAAATCCTATTGGGTTCTCAGAAAAAGTCTCATGTAGACAGGGGTTCAAATGTGTTGGGATATTTACTGGCCCACTCAACCTGAGAAATGGCCCTAGAGCCTTCTGTTCTGTAGTGGTTCATATTTTCACATTTGCTTGATGGTTTGTATATACACATACTTTGTTATTCTTTGAAAAGTTTGTTGTGGAAGTGGTGATGATAGTAAAATTCAAATAGCACAAGTGTATACAATGAAAAGTAACTTTTCTTCCCTTATGATTCCCCTCCTCAGTGACAACTGTTGTTTATAGTCTAATAGTTTATAGTGCTCTTTTGCTATACATACATGCACATATATAAGCATGCATATATACACATACATGCACATATATATACATACATGCACACACACAACCATGTGTCACTTAACAATATGGATTCCTTCTGACAAATGCATCATTAGGCAATTTTGTTGTTGTGTGAACACCATGGAGTGTACTTACACAGACCTAGACAGTAGAGCCTACAAACCTGTATACTACGTTACAGCACTTCATACTGTAGACAATTGTAACACCATGGTATTTCTGTATCTAGACATAGAAAAGGCATGGTAAAAATATGGTACTATCATCTTATGGGACCACTGTCATATGTGCAGTTTGCTGTTCACCAAAATGTCATTAAGGAGTACATGACTATACACACACACACACACACACACACACACATTTTATTTTATAAACAAGCGCACACTCAACACACTTTTTGAACTTGCTTTTTAACGACTGGGTGCTGTGGCTCACGTCTGTGATCCCAGCACTTTGGGAGACTGAGGTGGGCAGATCAGCTGAGGTCAGGAGTTCGAGACCAGTCTGGCCAATGTGGTGAACCCCTGTCTCTACAAAAATAAAAATTCAGCCGGTTGTGGTGGCTCACGCCTACAATCCCAGCTACTTGGGAGGCTGAGACAGAATTGCTTGAACCCGGGAGGTGGAGGTTACAGTGAGCTGAGTTCGTGCCACTGCAATCCAGCCTGGGTGACAGAGCAAGACTCTGTCCCGAAAAAAAAATTTTTTTTAAATTGACCTTGCTGTTTAAAACCTATGTCTTGCAGATCGTTCTATATCTGCACATATGATGGTACATTGACTTTAGTTCAGTCATCTTTTGGGGGTGCATTATGGGTTTTGCTTTCCGTCATTCATGGGATCATTCAGTGTTTCTGAGCTTTGTCTTATATATCCTTGTTTGTTTGTTTTTCAGACGGAGTTTCACTCTTGTTGCCCAGGCTAGGGTGCAGTGGCATAATCTTGGCTCACCGCAACCTCCACCTTCCGGGTTCAAGTGATTCTATTGCCTCAGCCTCCCAAGTAGCTGGGATTAAAGGCATGAGCCACCACGCCCAGCTAATTTTTGTATTTTTAGTAGAGACAGGATTTTTACCATGTTGGTCAGGCTGGTCTTGAACTCCTGACCTTGTGATCTTCCTGCCTCAGCCTCCCAAAGGGCTAGGATTACAGGCATGAGCCACCCTGCCCAGACAGTTTTGTATATCTTATTTTCCTGATAATTTGAAAGGTTTTATACCTGCTTTTAGTTCTTCAATATTTTGCCTTTGTGACTTCATACAAGAGCCCTATACCTCTAGCTGTGTTTTTCAGTGCCTCTTTTTACTTTTTCTAACACAATTTTCACTTTTGTAATGGCTTTATTTTCCTCTTCCATTTCTTCCATGAACTTTGCCAGCTCACTTTTATATCTTTTTGTTATCTTATTTCTTGAGGCTTTTATCTATTCTTTGAGGTCTTCATTCAGAAACACCTTCTTTTTATTAACCCATCCATCATTTTCATCTGCTTAATGATGCAATTTTTTTGGTATATGTTTTTTGCCTTTCATTGGTCACGTTTCTTTCCTCCTTTCTTGCAGGATTTTTACATAGGTCTCTTGCCAGTTATCTTGAGGTCATCAATCAACTTTGAAAGGGGCTGCTGTTGTGAGCTAGCTGTTTGCTGACACAGTATTGGGGAGGGGGCCTGAGTTGAATTCATTGAATCTGTTGTATTTCCAGTTCTTGTTTCTTGTTTCTGAGCACTTTCTTATGAACACTCTACCCTAAGGCCTGAGTAGACTGTCTAGCAGCAAAGCTTTAAACCACAGCTCCTCATACCATGATCTAGCCTTCTAATATTTTGATTGACTAAGATCAGCATCCCCTGACCTGGTTTAGGGGTTAAGAGTTCAGGCTAAGTAGTGAGATGGCCTCGATTCAAATTTTGGCTACCCTACTTTTGATTTATATGACTTGGGTCAATTTACTTAGGCATTTTGTGCCACAGTTTCCCCATCTGTAAAATGGGGAGAAGAGCTCCTGTCTCTTGGGGTTGCTTTGAGGATTAAATTAACTGATGCCCTAAAAACATATCATCTGGCACAATGTTAATAGATGTGAGGTAGTCACTCCTTCTGCCTCCCGCGTTTAAGCAATTCCCTGTCTCAGCCTCCCGAGTTGCTGGGACTACAGGCGCGTGCCACCACGCCCAGCTAATTTTCGTATTTTTAGTAGAGATGGGGTTTCTCCATGTTGGTCAGGCTGGTCTTGAACTTCTGACCTCAGGTGATCTACTCATCTTGGCATTCTAAAGTGCTGGGATTATAGGCGTGAGCCACCATGCCCGGCCAAGACATAGGTTTTAAAAAGCAAAATCTTAATGCCAGTCCCTTTTCTTTCCCCAGCCATGCTGAGAGATTGCCTTTTGCAAAGATGGAGTGTCTGTATGTCTCTTCAGCATCCCTGCCACTAGGTGGTGTCCAATGGGGCCCGGAGTAGCGCTCCCAGACAGGCTGAGCACCACGTGATTCACTGCTTTCAGGCAGCTTATGCATTGCTTGAGTTCTGCAGCACTTTGAGACTTCTAATTCCCTCCTTCCTGACCAGGTTCAATTTTCACTGCACTTGGCAGCCCTTCTGAAAACCTCAGGCTATTTGTAAGTTTCTTCAAGGATGCTTTCCTTTTCATTGTTTTCTGTCTGCCTCTAAAGAGAGGTCAGGACAGAGGTAACAGTTACTTCCCAGAGCCTTAACACGTTTTAAAATATGTGCTCTTTTTGAGTTCAATTGGGTTGAATTTAACAACTGGAGAAATCTTTTAATTTTTCAAGGAGATCAGTGCGCTTTGTTGCTATTCTGCTCTGAGGCAGAGGAATGTCTAACAGCCATGGTGCCCATCCAGGAAAATCCATATGCAGATTCACCGGGCTGAAACCTCATCACATGCAATGATGGGCCACTGTCATCTCTCTACAAGGGAAATGGGAAACATTCTTAAGAATGTTCCTCTGCCTCAGAGCAGAATAGCAACAAAGCGCATATTTTAAAACGTGTTAAGGCAGCCCATGTATTGGCAGATTTTGAGGTTTCTTTAAAATGAATGTGTTTTTGTTAGTTTTCTAGCATGAATTGTGTTTTTTCATTTCTACTGCATCATAGATCAGTACGGCAGCTGGGCCAAGCGCATGGCAAATGGCTCACACCTGTAATCCCAAAACTTTGGGGGAGAATTACTTGAGGCCAGGAGTTGAAGACCAGCCTGGGCAACATAGTGAGACTCTGTCTCTACAAAAAAAATAATAATAAGAGATATTTAGATGGGGGTAGTGGCACGTGTCTATAACCCCAGCTACTCTGGAGGCGGAGGCAGGAAGATTGCTTGAGCTCAGAGCTTTGAGGCCACAGTGGGCTATGATCATCCCACTGTACTTGAGCCTGGGCAATACAGCAAGACCCTGACTCAAAACAAACAAAAAAAGATAGCAGCTTATTTAATGTTTTGTTTTTTATACAAGCCAGTTCTACCAGGTTGACTTTTCCCCACAATTGGTTTTTGTATTGCTTTTACATTTCATTAATTTTGTAAGTAATATATTAAAACATTCTAGTAAAATTCAAATATCACAAATAGAGCCAAATTGTTCTTTGATTTCCACTCTAAACTTGTTTGATCTGTTTTGTGGTTGCTTTGATCTTATCACACAAAGATCTTTTAATGCCATCAATTCTCCTCTTTATTATATTGCTCTGAAATGTTTGTTTACTTACCAAAGCAAAATGTGCTTATAGTTAGGAAAATGAAATAGATATCATGGATGGAATAAAAGTTTAAAATCTAAAAATAAAAGTGAAATAGTGCTAAAAAGGATTATAACACTCCCCTGTCCTCCAGAGGCAATGACTTTCAAATCGTACAGCCTTTTCTTCAGATATTTAAAAATATGGAAGTTAATTATATATATATATATCTTATTCTTCATTTTATTTTTTCTAGATACAGGATCTCACTATGTTGCCCAGGACTCCATCTCCTGGGCTCAAGTGATCCTTGGTCCTCAGCTTCCCCAGGAGCTGGGATTATAGGTATACGCCATAGCACCCAGCTATTATTCTTCAATTTTTAGACCCTATCCACTGACTGTAAGGGAGGTGAGGATTTCAGCTTTCTTATGTCACTTCTTCTATTCTTCCCTTCTTCCCAACTTTAATTTTAAAAAATTAAGTCCTTAGTCAACACCTTCCCCTTGCCCCCGCCGCATCCCCAGCACCCCCACCAGCTGGAGTTAAAACTGAATCACTTAAAAGAAAAAAAAATATGCTTAGTTGTCTCAAAACATATGACTAACTCCTTCCGTTATATAGCAGTGCTGAAGACAGAATTTTCCCCATAGTCAAGCACATCAGGTTCTTTCCCTTGGAGATGATCTACCCAAAGTCTCTGACTTTCTGTTGTTTGCTGGTGAGTAGGAGCCGGTAGAGAAGGAGAAGTGGAAGATGGCAGTATGCAGGAGGGACCTTGATAATCAGTGGCTCCAAGTCCTTCTGGAAGGAGAACTGCACAAGGTCTGGGATCAGGTGGAGGAAGGGCACCTTTTAAATTGAGTGTAGGACAAAGAAAGATAGAGCAAGGCTACAGGCAGGGTCCAAGGCTGGACGGTGAGTGGAAGTCGAGTAAGTTCCCATCTTGCTGTTTTCTCTGTGACTAATAGGAAGTGAGGTTAGCTGGTGGGAATGAGGGAGGAGGAGAGTGTGGCTGGAGTCCTGGGGAAAGTGGATGAGGTTGACGATGAATGTGAGTCAGAATTCCACTGGGTGGGGCAACTGTTTGGTTTTCTGTTCTCCCCCAAATCCCATGTTGAATTGTAGTGCCCAGTGTTGGAGGTGGAGCCTGGCAGGAGGTGACTGGATCATGGGTGGTTTCTCATGAATGGTTTAGCACCATCCCCTTGTTGCTGTTCTTGTGACAGTGAGTGAGTTCTCACGAGATCTGGTTGTTTAAAAGTGTGTGGCACCTCCACCCACCCTTGCTCCTGCTCATGCCTGCTTGCGCTTCGCATTCCACCATGATTGTAAGCTTCCTGAGGCCTTCCCAGAAGCTGAGTAGCTGCCAGCATCACGCTTCCTGTACAGCCTGCAGAACAGTGAGCCAATTAAACCTCTTTTCTATATAAAAATTACTGCATCTCAGGTATTTCTTTATAGCAAGGTGAGAACAGAGTAATACAAACCAGTAGGGTGTGACAGAAGGAGGAAGGAAAGTGAGGGCAGTTGCCAACTGATTTGTCCATCCTGGCCAATGGCTGCGGGTCGGGTGGCTCTTTAACCTCTTGCCTCCCTTGATGTGCAGGTTCTCTACTGAGAGGAGATTACGTCAGCCAAAGCCAGTGCTGTGACATCAAAACAGAACATTGGAGGCTTTAACCTTAATATTCTCTTCTTACATATCTGTAGGATAAGTATGCAGTCGTGGGCTAGAGAGGGAAGTTCATGTATCAACACTCTATTTTTAAATGCCCCCATTTAATTTATTATATGTATGTGTGTATGTGTGTATATGTATATGTGTGTGTGTGTGTGTAGAGAGATATATATATATGTATTTTTTTTTATTTTTTATTTTAAGAGGGAGTCTTGCTCTGTTGCCCAGGCTGGAGTGCAGGGGTGCAATCTCAGCTCACTGCAACCTCCCCCTCCTGGGTTCAAGCAATTCTCCTGCCTCAGCTTCCCAAGTGGCTGAGATTAGAGGTGTGTGCCACCACGCCCAGCTAATTTCTGTATTTCAGTAGAGACAGGATTTCACCATGTTGGCCAGGCTGGTCTCGAACTCCTGACCTCAAATGACCTACCCACTTCAGCCTCCCAAAGTGCTGGGATTACAGGTGTGAGCCATGGCGCCTGGCAAATGCCCCATTTTGGACACTACTATGCTAGTAATTTTTCTCTTCTCACTGGGATTATTTTGAGAAATATGGAACCAAGATTATTAAGTGTCTATTTGTACAGGGCACTCTTCAAGATAAACTCACCACATAATCCTAATCTGAAGGAGCTTACCTTCTGGGTAGCCATCTAACCTGGCTTTAAACTAATTAAGTGTAAAAAAAAGCCAAGAACATTCTACAAATAAGCATTTACAGTGGAGAAGGTAGAACTCAACTACTTCCAATTAGTCAGGTGATTTTCATTGTCAAGGCCAAAATCACAAAAGAAAAATTTGTTTATTTAACTAAAAGGTCATGGAAAGTTGGCTGGCTCCCACTTCTCACCCCTACCCCAAACCCTGCTCTTCTCTACGTTGACTTTATTCTCACAGAGCTTCCCTCCATTTGCTTCAAGATTAGCAGCCTCAGCTGAAGGCAAGGACCCTGCCCTTCCTTCCTCCTTCCAAGGGAGTGAGAATTGCGCTGAGGTCAGGAGTTTGAGACCAGCCTAGTCCAACACAGTAAAACCCCATCTCTACTAAAAATACACAAAATTAGCTGGATGTGGTGGTGGGTGCCTGTAATCCCAGCTACTCAGGAGGCTGATGCAGGACAATCGCTTGAACCCAGGAGGCAGAGGTTGCAGTGAGCTGAGATCACGCCACTGCACTCCAGCCTGGGCAATGGCGTGATACTCCACCTCCAAAAAAAAAAAAAAAAAAAAAAAAAAAAAAATGGTGTGGAAATTTATTTTGCTTTTCTTTTGCTTATAGAATACATTTGACATCACCCCCAAGAAAGCTTATCTGGACATATTTCTGCCCAATGAAGAGAGTATTAACATCGAAATTATAACATCAGACACTGCTGAAAGAGTCCTAGAGGTAAGCTTTGTTTAGACTCCAGCTCCTGAACTGAATCTAGGGATAGTTCTGTTTGGAAAGCGGAGAGTGGGATACGGCTGCCTTCCAGGAGCTTCTGGCCTGTTGTGTTACTCTGTGGATGGTTATCTGCAGAGGTACTGGCATTTCCTGGGAGAACAACCAAGGAACCTGAGACACAGCCAATCCTCCAGGGCCTCTTTGATTTCACCCTTCCTGGGGACACCAATTTTCCAGAGATCTCTTGGAAGGCTGCTGGCACTTCCTTGGAACTTAGCCAGGGATGTGGCCTGGAAATATGTAAAATGCTTTATTATTGAATGTCCCATCGTTGGGAGCAGGAAGGAAAGTGGGGCTTGGCAGAGTCTGAAACAGGTCATACCTAGGTGTGCGGGTGACACTTCCTGGCAGAGGGTGACAGGGGAGTTCTTGAAGGTTCCTATTCTCCCATAGGGAAAATTCTTGAAACCACTGCTCCGTCAGGGCTAATTCTGGGTGCAGAGGGCCCAGACGTGAGTTGTAGTCCACTCTCCGAGGACTAACAGGACAAGACCCAGAAGGCTTCATCCTTCTTCAGCAGCTCTGCCTCCCAGACCCCTTTTCCATCTGCTAAGCAGGGCTGCAGAGGGAGGGCCGTCTTCTCACACCCACATCCTGCACCCCGGGGTCAGCTCCCAGGCCCTTTTCATCTGGAAGGTTTTAGCTCTAATCCGCCAGAGAAACACACAAGAGAAAATATAAAGTTATAAACATGAAGAAGAGTCAGAAAGTTTCTAGGACCTTTCAAAGGACAGAAAGTTCTTGTTTTTGGGTTATGGTGTCTGACCCTTTCTGAGCTGAGAAATGGAAGCCCTCCCATTTTGGCTGCTAGCTCTTCCGGCCTGCCTTGACTTAACCTATTCCTGTATCTCCAGCTTCTCTCATATTCATTGCCTCTCCGTTTCCTCCTCTCCATCCTACATCCCGACCTTAGTTCCAGCCTTTATCGTTTCGCAGCTAAACCTCTACTGCTGCCCCTAAACTAATCTCCCTGCTTCCAGTCTTGCTAATCTTCTGTATCAATTTCCAGCATTGTCTTTCTAAAAAGTATCAAAGGTCCTTGATGCTTGAGGGAGTTTGTATCCCAAACACAAAAACCTCAATTGCCCAGGATCTAGAAGTGGGAGACTGACTCATAAATGAAGGAGGAGTAGGAAGGCAGTGATAGAGTCGGAGCCACAGACTGCATGTGTCTAGGGCCAGGCAGGTAGGTCTGGGGCAGCTGCAGGATCAGAGATAATTTGGAAATGGATGGAATTGTTCAGAACAGGAGAGAGCACCTCCCTTGTCCAAAGACATCATCATTGACTTCTTTTTTCACACACTGGGCTTGCTGACCAAACTAGACATGCCTGCAGCTGAAGGTGGTGGTGGTGGTAGTTTGGGGTCTTCTATCTTCTGGGTTTAGAATGAGTCCTGGATTCAAATTACAGTCATGTGCCACATAATAATGATGTTTCTGTCAACATTGGACTGCATATACAATGATGGTCCCATAAGTTTATGATACAATATTTTACTGTACTTTCTCTATGTCTAGATATGTTTTGGCCGGGCACGGTGGCTCATGCCTGCAATCCCAGCATTTTGGGAGGCCGAGGCGGGCGGATCATGAGGTCAGGAGATCGAGACCATCCTGGCTAACATGGTGAAACCCTGTCTCTACTAAAAAATACAAAAAAATTTAGACAGGCATGGTGGTGGGCGCCTGTAGTCCCAGCTACTCAGGAGGCTGAGGCAGGAGAATGGCATGAACCCGGGAGGTGGAGCTTGCAGTGAGCGGAAATCATGCCACTGCATTCCAGCCTGGGCCACAGAGCAAGACTCCAACTCCAATAATAATAATAATAACAATAGATATGTTTAGATACACCAATATTACAGTTGCCTACAGTATTTAGTACAGTAACATGCCTACTATACTACTATAAACCTGGGCTAACAGGCTTGTAGCCCAGGAACAGCGGGCCATACCATCTAGCCTAGGCATATAGTAGGCAATGCCATTTAGATTTGTGTAAGTTCACTTCGTGGTGTTCACACAACAACAAAATCGCCTAACGATGCATTTCTCAGACTGTATTCCTGTCATTAAGCAACACACAACTGTACAGTGCTGCTGTGTAAGGACTGTGTGAATTTGGGTAAGTTACTTTACAGACAATGTCTAAGTAAATAATTATAGAAATAGTTCACGTTCCTGAGACAATGGCAGTTGTGTTTATTGATCATTATTGGTATTGGTATTGGTATCGATATTGATATTGGAGGGAGTGCTGAATAGGGTTCTGTGGTACTATCTATTTTGTCCGTTTCCCTGGAAACTAATAGCATACATTTGATGAGGTATATTCGCAATCAGAAAAATGTGCTTCCTCTCTTCCAATCATGTTGGCTTGTGAGAAATTCAGACCCAAGACACTGACATCATCAGACCAGATAAGTTTAACTGGAGGTTCTACCCTAGAAGTGGTAGTTTCTGTAACAGGTGAAGTGATCACTTGGCCAGCGACAGGTGTGAATTTCCTTCCAAGAGCTGGGAAATTCTCTAGCTTGCATAAAACCGTAATTCAAGTTTTGTAATTAAAAATCACCTTCTGCATCTTCTCCAGCACACTTGCTGCCATTCTCACTTTGCTTCCCCAGGTTTGCCTTACCCACAGCCTACTTTTTACTTTTCAATGGTCTCTTTTTTTTGTTTTTTTGAAATGGAGTTTCACTCTTGTCACCTAGGCTGGAGTGCAGTGGCGCGAACTTGGCTCACTGCAACCTCCGCCTCCCAGGTTCAAGCGATTCTCCTTCCTCAGCTCCCCAGTAGCTGGGATTATAAGCACGTGCCACCAGGCCCAGCTAATTTTTTTTTTTTTTTTTGTAAAGACGGGTTTTACCATGTTGGCCGGGCTGGTTTCCAACTCCTGACCTTAGGTGATCCACCCACCTTGGCCTTCCAAAGTGCTGGGATTACAGGCATGAGCCACTGTGCTAGGCCTCAGTGGGCTCTTTAAGGGCCAGCAGCAAGCTAAAATCTAGGACTACTGTGGTGCTAGTGATAGTGTTCGTGTTTTGAATCATCATTAACATTTGCTAAGAGGAAAAATATTATTATGTATTTTTTTGCTGATGCTCACTCTTCTCAAAAGAAGGCATTTATATTTATGTCTTTATGAATGTGAAAGGCTTCTTCATTCTCCTTTTGTCTCCACACCTTTCCTCTGTCTGCCTTGGCATGTAAGCTTGTTGTTTTCCCTAAATTAGACAGAAAAGAAGGAAATCTAATTTGAGTGGACCTGGGTCAGGTTTACTCTGGGAAAGAGGTCTTTGCTATGCTGTTACCTACCACACACTCAACCACTGCGTTTGGCTTTTGGGCGTTTTGCAACCCAAAGCATGGGGGAAAGAGAGAGACAGAAAGAAGGGGAAAGGGAATTGCTTTGAAAGTGGTGAAACTATTCCTGAGCTGCTCTTTATTTTCCAAGCTATGCTGAGAACACCCACTCATACCAGCCACCTAATCAGACTGCTTCCTGGGGGTAATTTATGTATCTCTGACAAGAGAAGGCCCCCTGTGAGCCTGGTATTTGTACAACTGCCACCTAGAGAACTGGGAGCCGTGGGTAAAGCAGCTCTTGAAGGCAGTGCCTGGAGGCGACTCCTTGAGTGTTACAGAGGTGATTTAGTGAGTTAAGACCAGGAGTATAAAGAAATTACTCGAGAGCCCAGTGTTAAAGAGGGAGGTAGCCTGTGGTCATGTAGAAGTTTCTGCTAAGGGAGCATGAGTAGATGTCCAATGCAGTGAGGTGACACGTGATAGGCTGATGGCAAAAATGAAGCCACTGGTTTTGAAATGAAAGCAACACTTTTGACTTTTGTTCGATACAAAAGTCAAAGAGGAATGTGAAGGAAGGCAACCTGTGCCTGGGATCTGAGGTTTTTTGCAAACATCATAGTAAATGACAGTTGACCATCGCAGGAAACATCAAGGTGAAGCAGGCCTGGTGTGTCAAAGGCGGGCAGTAGTGCGTGCATGTTTGTATGCCAGCCGAGCGGCGGGGAGTGATCCTTTTCCAAATAGCTGGTAATGCAGCCCACAGGAAGGTAAATTAGTGTGCAGGCTCCAAGGACAGACATCACAGAAGGACAGATGTTCATGGAGCATGGCTGCTGCCCTCCGGGGGAAAATAAAGACCAAGACGATCGGGGATCCTGTCCACATCTGAGATGGGATGACCAACCTCAACTGGGGCCAGCCTCTGTCCACTGTGGTGGGACTGATTTTTATTTTCTTTATTCTAATTTTTTGTGTTTTAAAATTTTCTAAAATGGATACTGTTTTTGGATTCCAAAAAGCTTTCTTTGAGTGTTCACTAACCCATGACAGCACTTTTTATTGCTGTGTATCGGCCATTTCCAAGTCTGCATGTCACAGTTAGGATGCATGGTGGGCACACCTAACTTTTCCCCCTTCTGCTTGTTTTTGGTTAAAGGTGGCATCACACAAAATTGGACTGTGTCGGGAGCTCTTGGGCTACTTCGGCCTCTTTCTCATTCGGTTTGGCAAGGAGGGCAAGCTCTCTGGTAAGAAGGAAGGAACAAATGAATCAGCTAGGAGATAGGGTGGACAGGTGTGAGCAGGGGCTTGATGCAGGACTCACAGCTGAGGGACTGGCCACCCATCGGGCTATGATCCCTACTGCTGTTCTCAGTCACTGGGTTAAGGGTTTGGGGAACGGGAGGTTGCGTCCTTGTTAGGGGAGAGTGGAGGCAAACCACTCATACCTTGGGTGGTCCAGTAACTGCACTTGTGCACCCCCAGCCCTAATTCTGATGCCCCTCCCCTTTACTGCAGACTGGGCCTGACCACTGACCACCTGCCTGCACCCTTTCCTGTGAATGGAGTGCTAGACTCTGGGGGTCAGGACGCCCCACCACAACATCACTTTTCCTTGTTAAGGAATATTTGTGGATGATATCAATGAGTTATTAGATACCTTTTTTAAAGCGTAATGAGATAGTGTAAGAAGACAATCTGATTCTCATATCTTTTGTTTTCTCTATAGTATGTTTTAAGATATTACAAGGTTTTTGTGTGAAATGGTGTCAGTTATATCAAAGTAGTTTGTAAATGTCCTCAAGAAGCCAGGGGAGGTGATTTTGAGTTGGAAGATAAGGGGCTTGTGTAGAGGGTTGGCTGCTAGGCCCTGTGGTGAGCTGCAAAGGTGCTGGATGTCTCTGGATCTGTTTTTTCATCTGTATCACAGTGTAAAACATCCCCCACTCAAGGGGCTGATATTTTTGAGGATCAAATGATATTTATTTTTTGAATGAACTTCAGAAAGTTAAAATTACATATAAATACAGAGGATATTCTTACTGTGATTTTATTATTTCCAATAATAAGGTTTTATTTTCTCATTTGAAAGCTGCTATATATAAGCTGTCTGTGCTATTTCAGCCAGTAAGACTGGCTTTCCCCTTTCTCTAGTTGTGAAAAAATTGGCCGACTTTGAACTCCCTTATGCTAGTCTTGGAAGTTCTGAAGTGGAACACTGTAAGGTTGGACTCCGAAAGTGGTAAGTAGGTACCGAAAATGACAGAGGCGCTTGAGGACATTTCGCCATTGCCCATCAAGACTTATCAGAGTTCCATCACATCCTGCTCACAGCCTGACAGCTGGAGACCAAGAACTTAGAGAAGGTTGTAAGAAAAGCAATGAAGGCCAGGTGCTGTGTCTTATGCCTATAATCCCAGTACTTTGGGAGACCAAGGCAAGAGGATTGCTGGAGCCCAGGAGTTCAAGATCAGCCTGGGCAACACAGCAAGACCTCATCTCCACTAAAAAAAAAAAAAAAAAAAAATAGCCAGCTGTGGCGTTGTGCATCTATGGTCCCAACTATTCAGGAGGCTGAGGCAGGAGAATCACTTGAGCCCAGAAGATTGAGGCTGCAGTGAACCAAGATTACACCACTGCACTCCAACCTGGGCAGCAGTGCAAGACCCTGTCTCAAAAAGAAAAGAAAAGCCATGAAAATGAGAGAGGGTGAAATAAACTAGTTTCTGAATATTTGTCCTAAAGAATAGGATGTTGAGGATGACTTTCAGTAGTCTCAGGTAAATACTCGGGGCTGGGTGGGGTATGAAAATGAGGAGGGTAGTCATCTTTCTGTATCTCTACTGACAGGCGAACAAGAAAGTAAGACTTGAAAACCAGGGGCGGGGCCAGGGGATGTGGATCAAAGCAGGTAATGGTGAGAAACGGCTGGCCTTGGGTTTGCTTTGCAGTGCATCACTGACTGTATTAATGGAGGGACTTTGTTGGTGATTACAATCAGATCCGATTCATCCGTAGAAGTGTGGCATTCCCTGAAGGTGAAGGGTGGAATCAGCCAGTTTGCAGTGAATTTGAACTCTAAGTACTGGGCTTACACAGGCCTAAAGGATGTGTACTACGGCCATCTGTATTCCTAGATAGATAGGACACAAATGTCCCTCAGCAGAAAATACTGTCATTTCCTCTACTAACACAGGGGCCTGTGGAGAACAAAATATTATAGAAAATAGCACCAAGCAGCAGGACCTTATGCATCCCCAGTCCTATAACCTGCAGCTCCCAGCGTTTATTACTGTGGCCACAGGGGATTGCTCCTTAGGCTCGCTCTCTCCCAGTCCATTTATTCTACTATCTGAGTACAGAGGTTTTAAAGAAAAGTATTTTGAAATCTAAGAATTCCCTTGACCTTGTGATGCCTTGCTCTAGAGCTCCAGTTTGTGGCTTTGAATTATGGAAGGATATTCCCAGTGAGGCAATTTGTATACTGCTGTTCAGAAGTATCTTGAGGAATGGTCCAGCTCTTGAGGTGTGAAACCCTGAGAAGGGGAGAAGGACTTGGTTCCATTCAATGGTTTAGAGAACAGCTCTTCTGGAAGCTGCTTACTGTAGTGAGTGGCTGAGCACAGTTGTTCCTAGAATTACAGTATGTGAATCTAAGTCGCGGCTTGCTCAGGTCTTAGCTGCATAAACCTAGCCAAGTTTGTTCAAGCTCTCTAAGCCTCAGTTTCTTTATCTGTAAAATGGGAATAATAAAAATAGTGTCTACATCATAGGATTATTGTAAGGGTTATGTAAAATAGTCCCATATACTCAGTAAGTTTGGTCATGTTTGTGACTGTTATATTGATGATATGGTGATTATAGGAAGTAAAAAAAAAAAAATCCCTGGGGCTTAGATTTTCACTCATGTGCTCTCCTGAAAACTTGAGATCAAAGGAGAGATGACAATTCTGTTTCTTATCTTGAAGCTTGAATTAGAAATTAGGCACTGCCTATGTCTTTATTAAACAGGTAAACTCTAGGTGATACATGCAAGAGAAAACATCTACCCCAAATTATAAGCCAGCAGCTCAGATTCAGGCAGATTGCCTCTGTTGATGGGAACTGGGAAGAAAGGAGGTCCCACTTCTGTTGTTACAGCTAAGGATCAGGTCTCTGGAGAGGAGATTCTGGCATAGGCTCCTGCAGGTGCCTTGCCCTCTTTCCCGAGGGAAGTCTTGTTGGGTGGGAGCTGGAAGGCTAACTCCAAAAGCCGAGTGATTCCCAGCAGGTGAAGCCTCAGTGAGGCCTGAGTGGCATCTTAAGAACTGTTCTGTCCTTAAGGAGAGATGCCTGGGTGCATCTCTCCAGTGTTGATGATATGGCTTCCTCCAGGCCAGAGGGTGCCTGTGCTGGCCTGTGGGAGCCCCAGTCTGGGATGGGTCTTTTCTCTGCACACAGGCGCCTCTGGGATGTGTGGGTGCATAGTTACCTGGAATGTAAGTAGGGATGCTTCAGTTACTTCTCCCCACCCCAAAAGGAAGTTGACCTTCAAGCACCATATTTATCCCTTTCGTGGTCTAAGCCAACCCCATTGGTCTAATCACCCTATTCTTCTGAGCGTAGCAACTCTGCTTACCTCTGCCTTCTGGTTGGTAGAGATCAGCCATAGGTACCCTTTCCTGACAGTTTCAGTCCCTTCTTAACATACTACTGTGCTTCTACAGTCATTAATTTCAGTTCCTCGTGATTCTGGATCTGATAGGCAGACACGGAGCCCCTGCGATTTGCAAATCACTCTACCAAGATCCAGAGGGGCAACTCTGGATAGGCCCCTGGCCTTGGGGTTCTTCACAGATGGTGTCAAGAAAACTTAATCAGGGCGGCGATTGGAATAAACTCAGGGTGCAGAGGAAGCACAGTGGATGGGCAGGCTAATACAGCCTTGGGAAGTAGGGACCAGAGGAGGGGGCATTGCTTGAGGCTTGCAAAGAAAGGCCAATCAGTCAGGGGAGGAGATTGGTGAGGGCTTGGTCTTCCAGGCAGGGGGACAGGAGAGAAAACATGGTTGGAATGTAGCATTGGTGGTGGGGTTGGTGAGAGATGGAACTGGAAATGAAAGTGGGGGTGGTCCCGGGAGGAGCCTTGAAAGCGAGCAGAATAAATATCTAACTCTGGAAACCAGGAGAGTCTGAAAAGTTTCACAGGAAAGACCACTCTGGTTAGAATGTGGAGCATGAGGTTAAGGGTACATGGCTGACACAGAAAGCCTGGGAAGGAGGCTCCCAGAGCAGCTCAGGCAACCGATGAGGGTGGCCCTGCTGCAGGGTGCTGAATATGGGGGTGGGTCCGTATGGGGCAGACGACTATGCCAGGTATTGTGCGGTGGAGAAAGGGATTCCAGGGCTTGGTGGCCAAGAGTGAGGTTGAGTATGAACAGGGATGCAGACCATTCCCCTAAAGCTTTATTTTTTGTGCCTCTTTACTCTCAGAGCCCTCCAGGTAAGAGCTTACAGTGTAAAGAAATTAGGAAACAAAAGAGGTGGAGGGGCAGAGTGAAAGCTGGGCGAGTGGAGGTGTGGTTTTGTTAGAAAAGGGGGCCCCGGTTCATAGGGTAGAGGGCCACCACTTTCCAAAGCACTTGCCAGGTGTGTCCATGAGCCATGTCACAGGAATGAATTTCGCGCTCCTGAATTTTGCAGGTATATGGATCCATCCCTCGACTCCATGCTGATGGACTGCAGGGCGGCCTTAGATTTGCTCTACATGCAGGTGAGGGTCACCAAGAGCTCTGACAGCACCGTAGATCAAAGGCCATGTTGGCTTGGAATCACTGAAAAAAAATCTATGGTAGTTAATAATTCTACCTCCATACCTAAAATAGGCAAATTCATAGAGACAGAAAGTAGAACAGAGGTTACCCGGGGCTGCGGGGAGTGAGGAAGGAGAAGTTGTTTGATGGGTGCAAGTTTTTTTGGGGGATGACAAAAAGTTTTAGCTCTAAATAGTGGTGACGATTATCCAACATTGTGAATGTATATAATGACTCTGAATTTTGTGAACAGTTAAAATGACAAGTTATGTTGTATATATTTTACCACGATAACAATAAAATGTAAAAAGTAGAGGAGTTTAGAGAGAGAAAAGGAACTCTATCTCTGTTTTAACAATCCCTCTCTGAATTTGTAGCTGACGCACCGTCATCATGAGCCTAGAAAGGCTATCCCTGATAACTTAAAGTCAAAGGCTATCCCTGATAACTTAAAGTCACACGTGATCCCTAAATCTCAGTCTAGCATAGCCTTCTCGCCCCTGAGCCAACAAGCAGCCTGGGAGGGCATGTGGCCCGCGCGGTTGCGCTGGGCTCCGGGCTCACAGAACCCATGCTTCTGTAATGATCGCTGTTATCATCTTGAAATTCTTCATTTTATTTTTATTTTTTATTAAAAAAATTAAATTTTCATTGGTACATAGTAGGTGTATATATAATGTTTATGGGTTACATGAGATATTTTGATGCAGGCATGCAGTGTGTAATAATCCCATCAGGGTAAATAAGGTATCTATTTCCTCAAGCATTTATCCTTTACGTTACAAACACTCCAATTATACTCTTTTAGTTATTTTTAAATGTACAATTAATTTTTTTTTTTTACTGTAGTCATCCTGTTGTGTTAGCAAATACTAGGTCTTATTCATTCTATTTTGTTGTGCCCATTAACCAAAATTTTTAATTTTTGAACAGCATTTTCATTTTGCACTGGGTAGACCCTAAAAATTATGTAGTTGGCCCTACCTACTCCTACCCCCAGCCTCTAATAAAGTGAATTTTGAGCTTGGCTTCAGTTCTCTTCTCCTGCCTCGTGTGGTGAAGCTTCTGCCAAGTCGTGGAATGGTCAGCCCGTGCTGCCCCCAACATACACACCCAGGTCACCAGCTGCCCCAGGTGTTCACACTCACCACACCGCCATCTTCAGAGACCTGATCTTTTCCAGGCTTGGCTTCCACAATTCTGGGAAGAAAGCTCAGAAACTTCTTTCAGTGAGTTCCCTGAGAATATCTCACAGTCTATTCTTAGGCAGCAGGCAGGGTGGTGGGTCACAGCCCTGCCCTGCTCCAACCCCTCCCAGACTTTCCGTCTCACTCAGGCTAAACCCCAAATCCCAATGTCCTTGTTCTGTTTCCTCCGCAGCATTTCTACCATCTGCCAATGTAAGTATGTGTGTGTGTTGCGTATATTTGTTTACTCTCTCCCTACTGGAATGATTTCTCCATGAAAGTGGCTATTTATTTGTTCACTGCTGCGTCCCCAGAAACTGGAACTGTTCCTGGCATGATGTCGGCATTAAGCCCTGTGGTGGGCCTGGCATCGTATTAATTAAGTGCATTATGTCATTGGAGCTTCATAACAACTCTGTAAGGCAGTTGGTACCATCCACATTTTCAGGAAGAAAAACATTAGGTTTGCTGACAAAAGATTGAGTAGTGGGTTTGGATTAATAGAAGATGTAGATGAAGAAATTTAACAACACTTATTTGCAGGTGGCTTTTATTTAGCGTGATTCTAAGCTGCTACACTCGATAGCTTTTATAAACTCAGGAGAGAGAGAGAGATGGTGGGTAAGTTCTTATTTTTAATGAGCTTTTCAAGTGGAACGTTAATAAAACCTTCTGTAGTACTTTGTGTATAGAAAAAGGTCAATGGTGGATTTTGATACCCTGGCTTACCAGAGGGCGTAGAAGAGGGAAAGAAACTTAACCCATGCCTCCTTAAGTGACTTTTAGAGATCAAGACCCCAAAAGCTCTTCTAAATTCTAAGAGGGTAAATCAAAATATCACTTATTAGATGTTTAATGTTCACTATTGTATTTTTATGGCTAGAATATAGCTTTGAGTTTATTCCATATTATACATTAATCAATGTATAATTATGTTCTGGTTCAGCCTGGGCACGGGGGCACACACCTGTAATCCCAGCACTTTGAGAGGCTGAAGCAGGTGGATTACTTGAGCTCAGAAGTTCAAGACCAGCCTGGGCACTATGGCAAAATCCCATCTCTACTAAAAATATAAAAGTCAGCCAGGTGTGATGGTGTGTGCCTGTGGTTCCAGCTACTCAGGAGGCTGAGGTAGGAGGATGGCTTGAGCCCAGAAGGTGGAGGTCACTTGAGATGTGATCACACCATTACACTCCAGTCTGGGCAACATACAAAGAACCTGTCTCAAAAAAAAAAAAAAAAAAAAATCACGTTCAGTGTACTTGTGTTATATGAGTTAGAGCATAATTTTCCACTCTAAATGTTTATTGAGGCCCATCCTTGCTACTGTATCCTTGCTATTATGATACATTATTAGCTGTGTCTGGTTTGATACCACGTCCTTGGTTGAGATTGCATCACATAATTCTAATATTGTTCCTGTGGGAAATGTCATCTTTATGGCATGTCTTTTGCTTCTCATTATGATGAGAGGTCAGAGCTTTGAGCATCATAATGTGACTTTTTAAATTTGTCTTCATTAAAGAGTTATAACCAGAGGGAAACAGATGATGGTACTTCCTCTGCTCAAAGCTAAAAAAGAAGGGGGCTTCATGGGAGGCACACTGAATTGCAATTTAAGAAATGAATTCTGTCCCTTGTTCTGCCACTGGTCCTCTCTCTGGGTGACTCTGGGCCAGCCACTGCATCCTTCTGAACCATGACATCTCCCTGTTGAGAGGAGGTGGAACTAACATCATCTCTAAGTTTTCTGCAAACTTTAATAGACTGTCATTCTAACCTTAGCTTATTGCCTGGCAAAGTCTCCAAAAAATTGTCGTTGATGTCATAATAATCTTTATCGTCACTGTTATCATCATCATCGTCATCATCATCATCATCATCATCATCATTGTTCCCTGAATCTGGGTAGAGGAGCTAAGAAGTCAAAGGTGGGTCCAAGTTCAGTAGGAGAGTCAGGACCATAATCACTACCTCATTTGGGAGGCCTGCCTTGGCTCTCCCCAGAAGAAAATGCCTGCCTTCCTCCAACTTCTCCCAACCAGACTCTGAATGGCCAAGGGCAGAGACTGTCTCATTCCTTCTGTGTCCTGGGTACCTGGAATATGTGAAAGACTAAGAAGTGGCCAGGCGTGGTGGCTCACACTTGTAATCCCAGCACTTTGAGAGGCCAAGGCAGGTATTTTGAGGTCAGGAGTTCAAGAACAGCCTGGTCAACATGGTGAAACCCCGTCTCTACTGAAAATACAAAAATTAGCTGGGCATGGTGGCGCACGCCTGTAGTCTCAGTTACTCGGGAGGCTGAGGCAGGAGAATCACTTGAACCCAGGAGGCAGAGGTTGCAGTGAGCCAAGAATACGTCACTGTACTCCTGCTTGGGCGACAGCATGAGACTCTGTCAAAAAAGAAAAAAAAAGACTAAGAAGCAGTTATCCTTTAAAAAAGTTAACATGAAAAGTTCTTGAGTTCTGATAAATAATGGAGCCATCATAATTAACTATTAAGGGGCACAGCTTTGATTTTCTAAAGCAGATGTGCCCATTGATAGCCAATGAGTCAACTGAATTCCCACAGCCTGTTTCCTTTCTTCTCCTCCTCTTTTAACCTGAGTTTAAAAATGAGAGATTACATTTAAAACTGTAAGTAAGTATAAATTTTGAAGGCTCAGTCAATTCTGGGCCTGCATTTCAGCAGGGCCATTGCTGGCCTGGACAGTAATACAAATTAGAAAAAGGTACCCCATCCTCCAGGTGGGGCTAGCCCTGCGTCGGGGCCCATGGCTTGGTGAGTGGAGGAGGGCTGACCTTTGGCTTCCTGACTCCCCCATGCCCTGGTGACCTTGTCCAGGCAAATGTGTCCCTTGCCCTTCTTTACCACGCATTAGCCAGAACCAAGTGGCAAGTGCCTGCCTTTGAGAGGCATGTGACCTCCATTTCTCGCTACTGTGCCCTCTGCAGAGGATGCTAGAGCATGTGTGATCGAAGCTCAGGAAGACCATGGCTTATGTGATTTTGCTTGAGTTTTTAATTTTTTAATTTTATTATTTTTTCTTTTTTTCTATCTGTAGCACCTTTAGGATGCTTGATTTTTTTAAGTTCAGTTCTGCATAAACCCCTCTCAGCCAGTGTTCAGGGAACCATGTAACTGAGTAGACTTGTCTAGACTCGACTTTCATTGTCTGGACCTACTCAGAGTGAGGCACCGTATAATATCGCATTTGAGTGATGACTTGTGAACCCATAATCATGGTCAACTCTTTTCAAAGGTAATGATATAAGGCTGGGCACAGTGGCTCACGCCTGTAATCCCAGCACTTTGGGAGGCAGAGGTGGGCAGATCACCTGAGATAAGGAGTTTGAGACAAGCCTGGCCAATGTGGTGAAACCCTGTCTCTGCTAAAAATACAAAAATTAGCCAGGTGTGGTGGCACACGCCTGTAGTCCCAGCTCCCAGCTACTCGGGAGGCTGGGGCGAGAGTATGGCTTGAGCCCAGGAGGCAGAGATTGCAGTGAGCTGAGATCACATCACTGCACTCCAGCCTGGGCAACAGAGTAAGACTGTCTTAAAAAAAAAAAAAAAAAAGGGCCAGGTGTGGTGGTTCATGCGTGTAATCCCAGAACTTTGGGAGGCCAAGGCAGGCCAATCATCTGAGGTATCTGAGGTCAGGAGTTCCAGACCAGCCTGACCAACATGGTGAAACTCCATCTGTACTAAAAAGACAAAAAATTAACTGAGCATGGTGGCACACGCCTGTAATCCCAGCTACTTGGGAGGCTGAAACAGGAGAATCACTTGAACTCAGGAGGCAGAGGTTGCAGTGAGCCGAGATTATACCATTGTACTCCAGCCTGGGCAACAGGAGTGAAACTGTCTCAAAAGGAATGAAACAAAACAGTTACGTTACCTTTGCTATAGGACATCTGCATCTCTGTGTCTGAGGATCCAGTTACTCTGATGGTGAATGACATGTCTTGGGTTAGTACTTACTGCCGTGACTCCTGTTTATCTTTACACAGCCATCCCTTCTTTTCGATACTGTTCCCCTGTGCTAACAGACCTTACCGGATTCTACCATCAAGTACAATTCAGGAAAGAAGGCAGTGTTTAGTTCTTTACACCCATGCTTTCTCGTATGGTCTGTAGATTTGGTTTGAAGAAGAACTGGTGACAAGGAGAAAGCCTTGGGGTAGGCAGCTACCTACCTGCTAAGAATTCAGTGGCTTGGGCAAGGGTAGAAGGGCCTGCTGTAGTGCCCAGACCTGGGTTTGCTCTAACTCCTGCCACTTACTCGCTGGGTCATCTTGAACATCATAACCTCTCTGAACCTCAATTTACTCATCTGTAAAATGGTGGTATTGTTCCTCCCCACAGAATAGAGTAGGCCCACCTTATCCTTGGTCTGGCTTTCTGTGGTTTCAGTTACCTGCGGTCAAGCATGGTCTGAAAATATTAAGTGGAAAAATTTCAGAAATAAACAATTCATAAGTTTTAAATTGCACGCCATTCTAAGTAGTGTGATGAAATGTCTTCCTGGCCCGGAACATGAATCATCTCTTTGTCCAGTTTATTCATCTTGTCTGCATCATCCACCCATCAGTCACTCAGTAGTGATCTCAGTTATCACCATCCTGGTATCCCAACACTTGTGTTCAAGGCCCCAGTTTTACTTAATAATGGCCCTAAAGTGCAAGAGTAGTGATGCTGGCATATTGTTATACTTGTTCTATTTTCTTATTAGTTATTGTTGTTCATCTCTTACTGTGCCTAATTTATAAATTAAACTTTATCATAGGTGTGTATATGCAGGAGAAAACACAGTATATATAGAGTTTGATATTATCCATGATAGTACCAGTCCATCCTGTCTGGGAGTCTTGGATAGTATCCCCCAAGGATAAGGGGGACCACTGTAGTTGGGAAAAAGTCAATAACAAAATCGATCTAAAGCAAGTTTTCAACAAATATTAGTTATTTTTCTTCTCCTCTCTAAACCCATGTCCTTTTCCCAGCCTAAAGCAATATTTAAGGCATATTCAGCTTTTCATTATTCTCTGAGAGATAAAGCATAACCTGCCAATATCACTGAGGGATGTAACAGATAGGCTTATGTTCAGACTAAGGTGAAAATAAGTGCCTGATAATTGGCAAAGAATTGCTGGGCATTGCCGTATGTAGGACACTGGGCAAGGCACGCTGAGATGACGGGCGCAGTGTCTTCCCTTAGGGGTTGACAGCCTAACTGAGGGACAATGGCCAGTTCTGCTCTGTCATGACAAGTCAGAGCAGCACAGACCGAGTGTGTGCAGCTGAGGAGGTGGACAGCTGATTCCATGGCTTCCCCGGGGCCAGACTGGCGAAAAGGGGAAGGGAGCTGGGTGCCGAGAGGAGAGGGAAGGAGCACAGGAAAAGGTGCCTAGCTCAGGGAGGGTAGGCTGAGACAACAGGCTTTGTTACTTCCACGTTTCATGTTGCTTCACCACAATCCTGACGGGCTTCCACAGGGGGCTGTTGCCTTCCAGGAGATTTCTGCCTTTGAGCCCAGTGTCGTTCTGCTGAAGTCTACAGTGGATTAGGAAGCAACCAAGAACCCCATTAGGGATTTAGAGTTTGGGAACACTTGCTGGTGGTGGTTACCCTAGGCTGACCAGACAGGACCCAATAATATATTCAACTTTAATTTTTTTAATGTAAAATTAGTTTTTATCTTATAAAAAGTTTGCAAGTGTGGAAGAGTTCAAAAATGAAAGTAGATGTCACCCCAAATCTTAAATCAACCAGACATATAAACTATTAATTAACTCTTTGGGCATATTTATTTCATATACATTTCATGTATTTGCACATCCATTTCCTTGACTCGTAAGTATCCATATGAGGAATTCTTGTTGTTTTACATTTATTTTTTGTTGTTTTATAAAAATTAGGGTCTACTACTAGACTCTTACTTGGTAATATGATATTTTTCATGTACATTACACACATTTCCTATGTTGTTAAATATTCTGTGTAATTTTTAATGATAGCATAGCCTATTATTTAGTTATACCCAAACTCAATTACCTCTTTTGGGGCATTTCATAACAGTACTTACGTCATAGGATGGCGGTAAGGATTGACTTTTGTTCTGAAGCAATTAGAACATTGTCTGACACACTGTAAGCACTATACATGTGTTTGCCACTATCAAGTTGAAAATGTTTCATTGTTATAAACAATAGCAGTAATTGACTTATCGATATATTTTTTTCCAATATCTATGTTTATGATTCAAATATACTTATTATTTGGAATTCCTTTTTGTCAATTGCCAATACATAGCTGTTGTCCATTTTCCTGCTGGTGATGCTTACATTTTTCCTATTGCTTTATATAAATATTAACTGTTTGGTATATATGATGCAATCATTCTCCTTGGTTTTCCATTTGATTCTTAGTTTTGTTTTTGGTGGTTTTCATGTACAGAAGTTTTATGTTTTCACATAATTATATATGACTATTTCTTCATTATGACATTTTGTTTTTATATCTTAAAAAAGATATTACCTACCTCAAGGTCAGATAAAAATATTTACCTTTTTTTTTTTTTCTAATTGTTTTATGGTCTTATACATTTAAATCTTTGTCTGGAATTTATTTGATTGGGTGGTGTGGGGAAAGAGCTGATTTTATTTTCTTTTTTGCCAAGTGTTGCCAATTGTCCCCAAGCTATTGAACAATCCTTTCTTACTAATTTAAAAAATAAGGCTTATAACATGCTAAATCCCTAAATATATATCCACTTGGGTTTGTTTTTATATCCCTTCATACAAGAGTATGTTTTTGTCAGATTGATTAATTTCTGCTAAGACTGCTAATTTTACAACTTCTGTTATTTTAAGGCAATACAGGACATTGAAAAAGAGTGGGCCAAACCCACACAGGCGCAGAGGCAGAAATTAGAAGCTTTCCAGAAAGAAGACAATCAAACAAAGGTGAATCAAATATTGCTCCAAGAGAAATCCCTTGGAAGGGAGTTAAAGAAACATATTAGAATTGAACTGTTTCTGTAATTTATAAACCTACCAAGCACTAAAAGTGGGGCTCTTTTTAAAAAAATGAGAATACCTTCATTGATTGTTCTGAGTACGGAATTAGTAAAAGCTTATTGTTTAAAGATTCTAAAAAAATACAGATGGTATATTGTGAGTCCTCTGCTAAGTTAATTAATATAGATCCTCCGCATTATTTTTAGTGACTACAGAGTATTCCATTTTATGGTTATATTATCGTTTGGCTAACCACTTTTCTGTTATTGGAAGTCGGGTTGTTTCCAGCTCTTGCTGCTATAAATCACTTTGGCAGCAAGAGCCATGAGGCCCAGGGCTATGTCTAATTTATACATACTCTGCGTATTCACAGCACCTGGTACAGTTCCTGGCTGAAGTCCCTGAATACTGCAGCCAACATCCTCTTTCTATGCGTATGTGTTCTATTATTGCTTAGGATATATTTCTAAACATTCATTTTTAAAGTTTCCGTAAAGATGTTACCAACTCACATACCTCCTGCCCCTAAGCAGCGAATGTGAGTCTGACAGACAAGATGCATTTTAAGAGAAGAAACGGCCTCTGTTTCCTTGTGTTGTCTTTTTAAAAATTCTTTTGGCTTTGCCAGTGTTCACAACTGCGACACTGATTTTTGAATGAAATACAACCAAAATTTAGAGGACTCATTTATACGTAACAGAAAATAATTCTTCAAAGGCTCACTGAGATTTTTATTGATGAACTGCAAAAAAGAAAAAGGAAAGGCACATATTGCCACAATTTAGTATCCCCTGCCACCCGCCAGCCCGGCGTTCTACCTCAGCTTTGTCACAAAAAAAGGAGCTCAGTTTTTCTCTGAGTTTGGAAATTTTGACAAGTGCAGCTTCTATTTTGATAGATAGAATATTGCTGTTACTTTAGATGCAATTACAAACTGTGTACACCACAAGCAAGTCTTTGTACGTATCTGCCCTATAAACCTCTTAATTTGGTAAGAATGTTGTTCTTACCATGCTCTGCCAAAATGTGTATTTGTAGTTTTTCCACAAAATAAATTTTATCTTCTATGATAAACATTTGATCTGAATTTACCAGACTTTTTGTAATAATGCTATTTTTAAAAAGCTTTGCTTTGACTACATAAATTGAATGAAAAAAATTTAATTATTATTGAAATTTACTTTCTCTCAAAGCATCTGCATGTACTGATATGCAACCAACATTATTTGTTTGTGAAGTTCTTCGGCTAATGGAGCAAACACATTAACAACTATATTTTATGTACAAGAAAACTTGGAATTGAAAATGAGTGAAATTAACTTAAAGAAGACTCATTTGATCTAAATCAGAGAAAGGCTGTGGTCCATGGGCCATGTTTTTTGTAAATAAAGTTTTATTGGCACACAGTTACAATCATTCATTCATGTATTGTCTAAGGTTGCTTTTGTGTTGCAGTGGCAGAGGTAAGTAGTTGCAACAGGGACCATATGTCTGTATAGCTGAAAATATTTACTAGATGGTTCTTTACATAAAAGTTTACCAATACCTGATCAAAATGAAAATAAATTAATATAAACATATTTTCTGCAGCTGTGTATGTCAAATTGTCTTTTTTAGATACAATCTTAACTAATTTTCAAGTAGATAATCCTTGTAGCTTTCTGTCTTCTGGTGTTCATATAGTTAGTAATATCACAACACCTGTTTATCGAATGTCAAATGCCAACAGGTATTTTATATAAGTTACTTACTGATCACCAACTTTTTTGCAAAATAGAGCTTCACTTTTCAAACACCTTCATTTCTTTTAGTTCATTGCAGCCAAGAGATTATTACAATTTTAAAGAAGTGTTATCAAACAATAAGATAAACAATTATAGATTTATACCATATCAGTTAGAAAGTGTCGTAGCAAAAGCATGACACTACTCTGTCTGCTCTGTGGCAAGATGACTCAGCTCCTGTCCCCAGTCACTGCACAAGTACCATGTACTCACAGCCTGTCCTTTCCGAAGTTTCTCACTGACCCAACCAAAGGCCAGCACCTTACTGCATCTCCCTAGCTGAAGCCTGGACAGTGGCACAATGAGCTGGCACATGTGGCTGGATGGGACAGTGGCTTTGAATACTCCTGCCGGCATGAGATCAGGAGTCAGCTGTCCCTTACTGCTTCTGTCTCGGCCTGTTTCACTGTATCAGAGAATGCCACTGGAGTCTTTGTAAAGGAAGTGTGAGTTACCTTGCTTCAGGAAAGGATCACAAGTTGTCACTGGGTAGTGTTCTTTCTGATTTAGCCATGTGCTAAAGTGGGAACTGTTCTCTGCATGCACATCTCACATACCACTAGGCCAGGCCCATGGCGGAAGCTGGAAGAACAGAGTGGAAGTCACCAAACCCATACCAGCTTATTTAAATGCAATCATTAATAAAATGAAAAGCCCTGGACAGATGTTAATGAGACAGGATGCCTTGATCAGTGGTGTGACTGCAACTGTCCTCAGTTCTTATGTCACTTCAGAAACAGAGGGAAAAGTTAAATTTTAAAAGTCACATAAAAGTGTTCCTTTGGCAACTGGGGACTCTCTGGAATTCTATTTAGAAAGCAGACCAGCTCGTGCCCTCATTGCCATTTCTAAAATCTCTTTCTCTGGCAATTAATAACATCATCATATAAAGCAGCCTGTAGAAATGAACTACTTTTCTTCCTACATAGATCTCAGCTTAACTTTTTAAAAGCCAATATTTTAGGCCAGGCACAGTGGCTCACGTCTGTAATCCCAGCACTTTGGGATCCGAAGCAGGCGGATCACGCCGAGATCAGGAGGTCGAGACCATCCTGGTCAACATGGTGAAACCCTGTCTCCGCTAAAAATACAAAAATTAGCCGGGCACAGTGGCACTTGCCTGTAATCCCAGCTACTTGGGAGGCTGAGGCAGGAGAAATGTGTGAACCAGGGAGTCGGAGGTCGCAGTGAGCTGAGATCGCACCGCAGCACTCCAGCCTGGGTGATAGAGTGAGACTTCGTTTTTTTGTTTTTTTTTTTTTAAAGCCAACGTACACTTTTTTGTTTACTTGCTATTATAATCTGCTGAGACAGAATCATATCTGTTCATCCATTTTATGGACTCTTTTCTTCATTCTTCATTTACTCATGGAATATTTTCATTTCCACTGTGTACCAAGCACCATAACAGGGGCAGGGACACAATGGTGAAAGAGGCAGGAATGGTCCCTTCCCTGGAAGGACACTCCAGGAATTTCCCCCAGGCTTCTGGTGAGCACCAGGGCATTATCTCCATTTGTATGACCAAGAAGAAAAGGTGCTTTCACTGTGACTTAGTTCCGTGTATTCTCCTAGAATGGCAGTAGCTTCTGACATGAGGTTTTCATCTGTTTCAAGTGGTCTTTTGCTTCTTCTTGCTTCTCCTCCTGCCCATCACCCTCTTTGGAGCAGTTTTTGGAGCTGGCCCGGGAGGTACAGCACTATGGATACCTGCAGCTGGATCCTTGTACCTGTGACTACCCAGAACCAGGCTCTGGAGTTGTTCTTTCTGTCGGCAATAACGAGATCAGCTGCTGCATCACCCTGCCTGACAGCCAGACCCAGGATGTCATTTTCCAGATGAGCAGGGTGAAGTGCTGGCAGGTCACTTTCCTTGTGAGTATCTTGGCACCTTGCTTTGCCCATGACTTAAAAATCCTAGTACACTTGATGACAACGTTGACACTAGGGAGACAGGTTTACCATTTGAATCTGTACCTTGAGTGGAGTGACATCTAAGCCACATTAAATATCACCTAGTGGTAAAACCTATCTGTAGTCTGATGCAGGTTCCCCACCCAGGGAATCAGAAACATCGATCTTTCCACCTTCCAACAGCAGGCCTCCCTACTGCTTGAAGGGTGGCTGTAGTAATAACAGCAGATGGCAATAACAGCTATCATTTATTGAGCACTTACTACGGGCTCGGTGCTGACAAGGTCTCTACCCTTCAAGACTGGCACCGACTGGCAGAGTTTTTCTTACAACACCTTGGCATCATGCTTGCATTGCCAGCTCCTTGCAAGAGAAACCCTTATCAGATTTATTGAGTGCCCACTTTTTACCAGGGACTGTGCTGCACTGTCTCATCTATTATGTAATTCAGCCCGTAAGACCCCAGTGAGCTAAGTGGTGTTATCCTCTTTACACAGGAAGCTGAGGTTAACTAATAGAGGACAAAAGTTATCAGAGCATGACACCCACTTGTTAAATCCATGGAATCCCTGGGAATTTTTCAGCTGGGCTCATACTTGACCTCTCTGTGGCTTTTGATACTGTCAACCATTTCTTCCTTCTCAAAAATCTCCTTTCTCCCCTACTTTTGTGGGCCACTTCTCCCTCTGAGCATTCCTGAAATGCTGGTGTTTCTGGCATTGCATTCTAGCATAATTCCTCTACATATTCTATGAAACCAATCGCCCAGATCTTTCTCAAAGGCCCAGTTTTTCCTACCTCCGGATGCCTTCAACCAGGTGTCTCACAGACATCTCAAACTCAGCCTTTACCCAAAGCAGACGTGTCCTTTCCTCCTTATGCCTTTCATGGGGTTCTTCTGCCTGTGTTCCCTATCTTGGTCAAGGGAATTTCCACTACCACACCCTAACTGCCAAACCAGAAATCTTGAAATTATCTCTGACTTTTCTCTCTCTCTGACCCTACACATTTAAGTGCTAATGGAGGCCTATCCATTCTATACTTTGCTGTCCCTCAAAAGTCTCCCTTACCAGCCTGGGCAACATGGCAAAATCCCATCTCTACAAACTAATACAAAAATAAGCCAGGCATGGTGGTGTGCACCTGTGGTCCCAGCTACTGGGGAGGCTGAGGTGGGAGAACCCATTGAGCACGGGAGGTAGAGGCTGCAGTGAGCTGAGATTATGCCACTGCACTCCAACCTGTGCAACAGTAAAACCCTGTCTCAAAAAAATAAAAATAAAAAAATAAAAAGACAAAAAAAAATTTCCCTCTATCTCCGCACTCACAGCTTGGTCTCAACATGCCCTTTGTGGATGGATTGAACAGTTTCCTAACCCTTCTCCCTATACCACTCTTTCCTCCTGGAGGTCAGAGAAAATATTTTGTATGATCTTAGCCCTTTGAAACATATAGAAACATGTGTTGTGGCCCCAGCTCTGATCTATCTTGGTAAATGTTTCACATGTATCTTAAAAGAATGTGCCTTCCATTTTGGGTAGAACATTCTATAAATATCAATTGCCTTAGAGATTGGCTCGTTTTTGCTCTGCATAACTTGTTGGAAGTCCATCCAGTTGCTGACTGTATCAGTAGTTTGTCTCTTTTTCTTGTTGAGCAGCAGTCCATGGTCTGGTTGTTCCAAAGTTTGCTTCACCATTTACTCATTGAAGAACCTCTGGTTGTTTCTAGTTTTTAGCTATTATGAGTAGAGCTGCTATAAACCTTCACATACAGGTGTGTGTTTGACCATGAGTCTTCATTTTCCTGGAATAAATGCCCAGGAGTACAATTGCTGGGTCATATAGTAATTGCATGTTTACTTTTTAAAGAAACTGCCAAACTGTTTTTGAGAGTGGCTATATCATTTTACATTCCCACCAGGAATGTGCAAGTGAGCCAGTTTTCTGCATTCTCACCAGCATTTGGTGTTGTCACTATTTTTTTTTATTGTAGTCATTCTAATATATGTGTAAAGGTATTTCATTGTGACTTAAGTTTGCATTTCCCAATGGGTTATGATGCTGAATATCTTCATGTGTTTATCTGCCATCTGTATATCTTCTTTGGTAAAATGTCTTCTCATATATTTTACCCATTTTTGAATTGGATTGTTTGGCTTTTCCTGTTGAGTTTTGAGAGTTATTTATGGATTCTAGATACGTGTTCTTTGTTGGCCATCTGGTTTCCAAATATTTTCTCTTACTCTATAGTTTCGGGTTTTTTTGTTTGTTTGTTTGTTTGTTTGTTTTTGTTTCGAGACAGAGTCTCACTCTGTCACCCAGGCTGGAGTGCAGTGGTGCAATCTCAGCTCACTGCAGCCTCTGCCTCCCAGGTTCAAGGGATTCTCCTGCCTCAGCCTCCCGAGTAGCTGGGAATACAGGCATGTGCCACCAGGCCCGGCTAATATTTTGTATTTTTAGTAGAGCTGGGGTTTCACCATGTTGTCTTGGCTGGTCTCAAACTCCTGACCTCAAACAATCTGCTCATCTCGGCCTCCCAAAGTTCTGGGATTACAGGTGTGAGCCACCACACCTGGCCCACTCTATAGTTTTTCATCCTCTTAAACAAGGTCTTTTGCAGAGCAAAAATTTTTAATTTTGATTAAATCTGATTCATCAGTTTTCCTTCTTTGGATTGTGCTTTTACTGTCAAGTCCAAGAACTCTTTGATAAATCCTGTTATAGATGCTGAAGTTTTTCTATTTTTTTTCCTTAAAGTTTTACAGTTAGGGGTTTTACATGTAAGTTCATGATCTATTTTCAGTTAATTTTTGTATGGAGGATCAGACTTAGGATAAGGTTATCAGACCAGGCGCAGTGGCTCATGCCTATAATTCCAGTGCTTTGGAGGGCCAAGGCGGGCAGATTGCTTGAGGTCAGGAGTCTGAGAGCAGCCTGGCCAACATGGAGATACCCTGTCTCTACTAAAACTACAAAAATGAGTGGCTGTGGTGGTGTACACCTGTAATCCCAGCTACTTGGGAGGCTGAGGTAGGAGAATCCCTTGAGTCCGGGAGGGGGAGGTTGCAGTGAGCTGAGATTACGCCACTGCACTCCAATCTGGGAGACAGAGCAAGACCCTGTCTCAAAGTAAAATAAAATAAAATAAAAATAAGATGGTTATTCCCCCATCCCCAACCTTTTGTTTGTTTGTTTGTTTGCTTCTGGAGATCCAGTTGCTCCAGTACCATTTGTTGAAATGACTGTCTGTCCTCAATTGAGTTATTTTCACACCTTTCTCAAAAATCAGTCGGGCATGTTTGTATGGGTCTGTTTCTAGGTTCTCTGTTCTGTTTGGCTGATCTATGTGTGTATTCCCCCACCAATATCACACATGTCTTTCTTTGTAACAGCTTTATTGAGATATAATTCACATACCATACAATTCACCCATATAAAGTATACGATTCAATGGTATGGTATTTAGTATATTCACAGAGTTGTGCAGCCATCACCACAATCAATTTTAGAACACTTTATCACCTGAAAAAGAAGCCCCATACCCTTTAGTTGTCACCTTCCTGTCCCCCCAGCCCTAAAAAACCACTAATCTACTTTCTGTCTCTATAGAACAGATTTGCCTATTCTGGATATTTTATATTAATGGAATCGTATGACATGTGATGCTTGTGACTAGCTTTTTACTTAGCATGTTTCCCGGTTCATTCTTGTAGCATGTATCATCAGTACTTTATTATTTTTTATGGCCAAATAATAGTCCACTTTATGGTTATAGCATATTCTACCCATTCGTCCATTGATAGACTTTTGGGTTGCTTCTATATTTTGGCTGTTATGGTTTATGCTGCTATGAACATTTGTGCACAAGCTTTTGTGTAGACGTATGTTTTTATGTCTCTTGGGTATATACCTAGGAGTAGAATTATCATTGGGTCAAATGATATTCTGTGTTTAACTTTTTGAGGAACTGCCAGCCTACTTTCCAAAGTGGCTGCACCATTTTATATCCCCACTAGCAGTAGAGGGTTTTGATTTCTCCCCATCCTTGCCAGTACTTGTTATCAATTTTTTATTATAGCCAACCTAGTAGATAGATGTGACATGGTATCCCATTGTGATTTTATTTATCTTAGTATTTTTTCTCTCTCTGCTTTATTTGGGGTTGTTTCTATTGCTATAGCTTTAAGATTATTGCTATTTTCTGCTGTAATGTCTAACATTGCTATTTATCCCATCCAGTGCATTTATACTTCTAGTGTTGTATTTTTCATCTCTAGAAGTTCTGTTTAGGTCTTTTTTACATCTTTCATTTCTCTCCTTATCATACTTCTATTTTTCTCCAAATTCCTGAGTGTATGGAACATACTTTAAATAGCAGTTTCAATATTTTTGCTACTATTTCCATCATCTCTGTCATTTCCGGATCTACTTCTACTGATCGATACTTTTTTCTTTTTGTTTGTTTTTATCACCTGACACTGAGTATGCACCATTGATTGATTTTTCTACTGTTTGCAGATCATATCTTCCTCCTCCTATGCATGCCAGGTAATTTTTTGTGGTATGCTAAACATTGTGAATTTTACATTGTTGAATGTCGCATTTTACTGAATTCCTTTAAAGAATATTAGATGTTATTCTGGCGTGCAGTTAAATTACTTAGGATTGGTTTTACTTTTTTTTTTTTTTTTTTAAAGAGATAGGGTCTCACTCTCTTACCCAGGCTGGAGTGCAGTGGCACAATTATGGCTTACTGCAGCCTTAACCCCGTGGGCTCAAGAGATCCTCCTGCCTCAGCCTCCCAAGTAGCTGGGACTACAAGCATGTGCCTATGCCCCGCTAATTTTCATTTTTTGCAGAAACAGGGTCTTGCTATGTTTCCCACGCTGATCTTGAACTCCTGGCCTCAAGCAGTCATCTACTTCACCTGCCCAAAGTGCTGGGATTACAGGCATGAGCCCCCATGCCTGGCCAGTTTTACTTTTTTGATGCTTGCTTTTAAACTTTCTTTTCTTTTTTTATTTTTTATTTATTTATTTTTTTGAGATGGAGTCTCGCTCTTGTCGCTCAGGCTGGAGTGCAGTGGTGCGATCTCTGCTCACTGCAAGCTCTGCCTCCCGGATTCAGGCCATTGTCCTGCCTCAGCCTCCCGAGTAGCTGGGACTACAGATGCCCACCTGCCTTAATGAAGTTGCAGAGCAGTCTTTAGGGCTAATTTAGCCCTTTATGCCTTAGCTACCATTCTTAAGACTCTACCTGACATCTTGTCTATTGTCTCTCTGCTCTGGCTGATGGGAACATGAACTCTTTCCATCCTTGTTTGTGAGCTCCTGCAATTTCCAACCTACTGCTTTCCAGATGTTCTTTCCCCAGCCTCGTGTAGGTTTACTCTATACACACACAGATCATTATTCAGCCAAAGATCTGTCAAAACCTCTCTAGAGCTCTCGCTGTGTTTAAAGCCCTAGTCTTTGGTATTCTGCACCACAAATTCCAATCTCAACTTCTTGAAACTTTTACCCTTTCTCCTCCACCCACTGAGACCCCTGGGCTCTGTTTGGGTTCCCTGTCTTTGTGTTATATCCTGGAAACCCCTTCAGGTAGTAAGCTGGGATACTTACGGGCTCACTTCATTTGGATTTCCTTCTCTCTGGGTTAACAGTGCTGCATTATCTGTTGTTCAGTGTCTGAAAACAGCTGTTTTCCAATTCATGTTTTTGTTGTTGTTGTTGTTGTTGTTTTGGAGATGGAGTCTTACTCTGTTGCCCAGGCTGGAGTGCAGTGGTACAATCTCAGCTCACTGCAACCTTCACCTCCCAGGATCAAGCGATTATCCTGCCTCAGCCTCCTGAGTAGCTGGGATTACAGGCACCAGCCACCACGCCCAGCTAATTTTTGGTGTGTTTTTAGTAGAGATGGGGTGTCACCATGTTGGCCAGGCTGGTCTCAAACTCCTGACCTCAAGTGATCTGCCTGCCTCAGCCTCCCAAATTGTTGGAATTACAGGCATGAACCGCTGCACCCAGCCTCCAATTCATGTTTTAACTGATGCTGCCAGACCAATATTTCTAAAATATAAATATAATTCCTGTTTTTGGAGACAAGGTCTTGCTATGGTGCCCAGGCTGGTTTTGAACTCCTGGCTCAAGAGATTCTCTTGCCTCAGCCTCCCAAAGTGCTGGGATTACAGGCATGAGCTACCATACCTGGCTAAAACCTCTTAAGGAAAAGCTGTCGCCCTTGGGATAATGTCTGTTGCCCCCTGGGGGAAAAATATCTTTTTTCTTTCCCTATTTCTTTTTTCTGTACTGCATATGATCTGCAGGAAGGGATTCTTAGCTTATAAAACCTGTAAGAGTTAAGGCTCTTTGGTGGCAAGCAATAGAAACCAACACATTGGACTCTAGTGGAAAACGGGATGTGTTGGAAGGATATGGAGTAACCTACAGATTCAAAGGAAAAACTGATGCAGAGGTTTTAGAAAGTTAAGAACCAAAGGAGCTCAAGCTTTCTAAGAAATAGGAACTCTATCAGCACCTACGATTTGGGTCTCTCTGACTGAAATAACATGAGAAGCAGAGAGAATTACTTGTCCAGTTGGCCTGAAATTGGGTCATATGCTGCCCTCTGACTTTTCATTCCCTGACAGTCCTACATAGATAGCCAACAGTGGAAGAGGGATGGTTTTCCCAAGGGTATTTGAGACTCCATTACTAGGAAAAAGAATGATGGATGTTGCAAAGCAAAAATCACAGATGTTGCCTACCAGGCTTTCAGGATCTAGTCCTAAGCCTCTTCTCATATCACCCTCCATGCTTTGGAGCCTGTGCTGCAGCGACACGCATGGTCCCTTTCAGTGTCTCCAATATGCCTCAGGACATTTGCACTCACTATAGTATTTCCTCTTTCAAAAATCACTTCTCACCTCCCCTACACACCACCCAAAATAAAACCACCACAACAAACTTGGGTAGTTTCTACCTCTGCTCAGATGGCCCTTCCAGGGAGCCTTCCTTTGCCCTCCTAGCCTGGGTTAGGTGCCCCTCCTATTTACTTCCATAGACCTGTGTTTCCTTCCTAACACTTAACTATTAACATATCAAACTGTGGTGATTTACTTTCATGGCTCCTCCATAGACTGATACCTTCTTGGAAATAGGGACAGTCTCCCTCATTTTGATATTTTGCCCAACACATTAATGAGCTTTTTTTTTTTTTTTCACCCAGGCTGGAATGCAATGGCGTGATCTTCGCTCACTGCAAACTCCGCCTCCCTAGTTCAAGTGATTCTCCTGCCTCAGCCTCCCGAGTAGCTGGGATTACAGGCACCTGCCACCATGCCTGGCCAATTTTTGTATTTTTAGTAGAGATGGGGTTTCGCCATGTTGGCCAGGCTGGTCTCGAACTCCTGACCTCAGGCAATCTGCCTGCCTCAGCTGGGATTACAGATGTTAGCCACTACATCTGACCAATTAATGGGTATTTAAATTTACATTGAATATAAAATATTTTCCTTTGTAGGGAACTCTGCTGGATATGGATGGGCCCCAGAGAACTTTCAACCAGAACTTAGAGCTCAGATTTCAATACAGTGAGGATAGTTGCTGGCAGTGGTTTGTTATTTACACCAAACAGGTGAGTTCTCAGGGCAGACCTTGAACACCCTCTGTGCTGAAATGCTGTCTTGCTTGCTGGGGTGGACGAAGCACATGACCCTAACCCAACTAGAGCAGGACACTAGAGTATTCTATGTACTCTCATTTGGACTGTAATACCTTTTATTTTGTTTTAGGTTTTGTTTTATTTTACTAGTCACCATGGCCTTTGTGTCAGTTAGAAATGAATTTAGTTACCAAGTAATAGAAGATTCAACCAACAGTGGCTTAGAGCAGGAGTCCATAGACTTTTTCTTAAAGGACCAGATAGTAAATATTTTAGGATTTGAGATCCATACAGTCTCTGTTGCAACTGCTCAACTCTGTTAAAAGCAGCCATAGACAGTAGATAAACAAGTGGGTCTGGTTATGTTCCAATAAAACTTTATTTATAGAAACGGATAGTGATCTGGCCTTGTTTGCCAACTCCTGACTTAGGCAATATAGATTTTTATGATCTCAGTTAATAAGAATACTGAAGGTAGATGATATTATTCTTTTGAGCTTTTCCAAGCAGATAAAAAGCCACCGGTTGAGTAGCCCTTATCCCAAATGCTTAGGACCAGAATTGTTTCCAACTGCAGATTTTTTTTTTATCTTGAAATATTTGCATATACATTCATGTAGTACATAACATTTTGGTCAATGACAGTGTGTATATATGGCAGTGGTCCCATAAGATTATAATATAGTATTTTTACTGTACCTTTTTTATGTTTTTTTTTTAATGTTTCACCTTTTTCCTGCAGTACCTTTTCAATGTTTAAGTGATACACATACTTATCACTGTGTACAATTGCCTCAGTATTTATTCAGTACAGTAGCACGCTGCACAGGTTTATAGCCTAGGGAGGCTCTATCATCTAGCTTAGGTATATAATAGCAGGCTCTACGATCTAGGTTTATGTAACTACACTCTATGTTGTTTGCACAATGACAAACTTGCCTAATGATGCATTTCTCAGAACTTACCCCCATCATCATTAAGTGATGTATAACTGTATATAATGAGATATCTTGAGGATGGGACCCAAGTTTAAACATGATTCAATTATATTTCATATACACCTTAAACACACAGCCTGAAGGTAATTTTATATGATATTTTAAATAAATTTGTGCATGGAACAAAGTTTGTGGACATTGAACCATCAGAAAGCAAAGGCGTCACTACCTCAGCCACCCATGTGGACCATCTGTGGTTGTTGTTGGGCATCACCATCATTCCCGACTCTGAATTTATATGCTACTGATAAGCAATCCATTTCTTATACTTATTCCCATGTGAATAATCGACAGTAGAAAATATGACATACATTAATACAGTGAAGAATTATGTGTTCAGGGTAGCTAATCAGCACAATAGCACCACCAGAATACCTGTATCAGCTGTGAAACCTGTGAAACAACAGTAACAGAATCTGTGTTGTACACCTGGATTTTGACTGTTACTAGTCACAGGAGGTCAGGTATGGAATTTCCCACTTGTGGCATCATGTAAGTGGCATAAAAAGTTTCACATTTTGGACTTTTGGATTAGGGATGCTCAACCCATATCTCTCTTATCTGGAAAGCAAAAGTTTTACCCCAGAAACCTCCAGTAGACTTCCTGTTGTGTTTCAATGGCCAGAACTGGATCCTATGACCACTCCTAGCTGCAAGGGAGTCTGGGAACCAAGCATCTAGCAAAGAGAAACAGGCTTTATGATTGGCTTAGAGTAAGCATGAACCATTGCCAGGGGCTGAGCATGTTATTGTCCCAAACAAAATCAGGATCTCTTAGGAAAGAAGGGGCAATGGCTGTTGGGTAGCCAACTATCCACGTCTACCATAGGTTTTTAACTAAAATTGGAGTAGAAATGCTAAAAAAGAGAACATCTAAACACCAAATCCAATTGAAAAGTCCTTTTTACTAAATTAAGTCATTTCAAATCGGAACCAAAATTGTAGATGTTCTGAAATGGAATCAAAATAGTAAAGTACTCTTTGCATCAATGTCATATTCAACCTGAGTCTCTGGTGATCAGGCTAAGTTCCATGGAACATTCTGGTTCAGAAACCAAGGCCCCTTTCGACTCTTTACTTCTAGTATAGTTGAGTCATTATATCAAAGTCCTCTGAAAACATGAAGTACTAAACCGAAATTCTAGGTTAAAGCAGTGGGTCCTTAGGTTCACCTTAAATATGAAACATCTTTAGGGAAATGTTAGACTGGTTTGCTGAGGCAAGATTGTCAGTCACTTGGAGAGACACAGAGAGATTTGGGTAGTAAAACTACCTCCCAACCTCAGAATGCTAAGTGTGGTTAAATTTTACTATGATTTTTAAATCTAGTCAGTAGCAAATGAGTTTAAACCACCATAAAGAGGTGCAATAAACATTCTTTCAAAGGATTCCTAGTAAGGTCTTATTTCCCCTGGAGTGTGAGTTTTATTGATGTACACCCAAGGGCTACTTTTTAAGAAGTTATAATTTTTATGGATATATAATAGTTGTACATACTCAAGGGCTAGTTTTGCAAAATTGGAAATGTGACTTGTGTGCTTTGCAAATACAAATGAGGGCTTGGGCCCAAATCTTTTTGAGACCTTTTAAATGAAATCTGAATCCTTGGCCAGAAGCAGTGGTTCATCCTGTAATCCCAGCACTTTGGGAGGCCAAGGCGGGCAGATTGCTTGAGGTCAGGAGCTCGAGACCAGCCTGGTCAATATGGTGAAACACCATCTCTACTAAAAGAACAAAAATTATCCGGGCATGGTGGCAGGCACCTGTAATCCCAGCTACTCGGGAGGTTAAGGCAGGAGAATCCCATGAACCTGGGAGGCGAAGTTTGCAGTGAGCCAAGATTACACCACTGTGCACCAGCCTGTCCAGCCTGGGTGACAGAGCAAGACTGAGTCTCAAAAAAAAAAAAAAAAACCAAAAACCACAACAACTCAATCCTATTACTTTGTCTTTTTAAAATTTTTTATTCATTTTCAATCTTTTCATATTTAACAAACCTGACGGTTTATAGCAGAGTCCTGGCCTACGTACTTGTGTACATTGTATAGGAATATGGAATTGGTCTGACACTATTAAACATCCTACCTAGGTGCATTTGCTCAGGGTTTTGTTGTTTATTTTATTATCTGGTTTTGCATAGGTTACATATATGAACATATAAACAGGGCTAGTTATTAGCAAAACTAGGAAGTCAAAATGTTTGCACAAATGCCACATCTGTTAATTCTTTTAAAAATTGATGTCAGTCCTTTCTTCTTCTTCCCTCTTTTCCCCTTTTAAATAAAATTAATTCCTATCATGCTCTACACTCTTGCAAGACACTGAGAGCTGTATGTAGCCCATTTTCCCTCTAATTCTGCTTTCCGTGTTGTCCCCTCTAAGAACTTTCTACTTGGCTACCACCCCAGACTGTGCTTTCTCTCACTGTCTCCTCCCTTCTCCTTTCCATCCTCCCCTCCAACACAGTGACCATCCCTGAACACAACACTGTGCTAAGGTCTTATAGCCTCAACATTCATTGACAGTTTTCCCAAACCTTAGTAGGGCCAACGGAGAAAACAGCAAGCCAAGAATCAAGAGCAGGACAAGAGAGAAAAAGGATTAGTGGGAAAGGAGCAAATGGGAAAATCATAGGGAACCTTCAATTTTGCTCATAGTAGTGCAAAGCCTGGAATAAGGAAGCCCAGCTTTTGTGTAGCAAGATATACAACTGTGAGTGTCTTGGCACCAATGATGATTAAGCCATGAAGGATAGTGGAGGTGACCATCAGTCTAGAACATGAGTGATTAAAGATACTAGAAAAATAAGAAAGTAGGCCGGACACAGTGGCTCACCCCTGTAATCCCAGCACTTTGGGAGGCCGAGGCGGGTGGATCACTTGAGGTCAGGAGTTCGAGACCAGCCTGGCCAACATGGTGAAACCCTGTCTCTACTAAAAATACAAAAAAATTAGCTGGGCATGGTGGCAGGCTGAGGTGGGAGAATCGCTTGAACCCAGGAGTCGGGGGCTGCAGTGAGCCGAGATCGCAGCCACAGCACTCCAGCCTGGGTGACAGAGCAAGACTCTGTCTCAGAAAAAAAAAAAAAAAAAAGAAAGAAAGAAAAAGAAAAAGAAGAAAGTGAAGTGAAGAAAAACAGCTAACCTTTTTTTTCAGTTTAGTAAAAGCAATAAGTTGCTAATATGTTCTTTCAAACAAACCAGTTACTATTTATGCTCAGTAGAGGTCTCTCAATAATTATGTATACAATGTCTAGAATTAAATATAGGATTGACCATCATCAGTTCATCTCATTATAACAATAATAATTCATTTTTATTGTTTGTTGCTCAAAAAACATGATCTACTTACAAAATAATAGAAAACATGGGATGCAAGGGGGTGAGTTTTAAGAGGAAACATATTAATAGTGAGATCCTGGACATTTTTCATTTCTTTAAAATATTTGCTGTAAATATATCCACATAATTGAGAAAATTTATAGTTACTTCCTAACTGGATCTTAAGAAAACTTCTGGAAGTTAACGAAGAAATCTAAATTCTTGAATGTGTGTTATTGGAGGGCAGAGCTCAAAATCTGCCTTGTGGTGTGAGGAGGGAAGGAAGAGAGTGAAGATTTCTTCAGTTACAAGAGTTCTTTATTCCTGCATTTCTTAGGCTTTTTTGCTGAGTAGCTGCTTGAAAAAGATGATCTCAGAAAAGATGGTAAAGCTAGCTGCTAAGAATCCAGAAATGGTGAGTGCTCTCATCTGTGTATATTTTTCACTTTACGTTCCCATCATCAGCCAACAGTTGGAGACCAGTCTACACTTATGAGCTCTCTGGGCCAGCAGGTCTGGTCCTAAAGGGGGGACTCCAAACCACAGAAGTGAGCTCCTCTTCCCACTGGTAGCTCAGTGCTCAGAATGGCAGGGCAGAAGGAAGCCTGTCTTTAGAATTAAAGTCATTTTTCCAATGAGAAGTCATCTTTGGGTTACTGAGAATTCTAACCCTCGACTTTGTATTGTTTTATTTCAGCCTTCTCTGACATGGAGGCTTTCAGATTTATTATAGAAGCTACATCTTCAAGTCGGGGTCTTGAGGGGGTCCTTAACACAATGGGGATGATCTTATTGTAAGTTTGTCTCTAGAAAGAATCCATAGCTTCTTGATAATTCCATTGTGCCAAATGAAAATGCCTTTAACAGTTGGGAGGAGTAAAATAAACTCTCAAGGCTACTTTTTTTTTCTCAATATAAAATTAAACTTTATTGTTCTAGTGTACATTTATTTATTAAAGGCTTAGTAACTCATCAAAAAGGTTGGTGAGAAGGCTGTGTAAATATTAGATTTTAAACTGTTTTAATTGCCTAGTCATCATCATGATACAAGTATGTCCCAAACAAGACAGTACAATTTTTTTTTTTAAATGATTAGAAATACCAATGCCTGGGGCCAGGCATGCTGGCTCATGCCTGTAATCCCAGCACTTCAGGAGGCCGAAGTGGGGGGGATCACTTGAGGTCAGGAGTTCGAGACCAGCCTGGCCAACATGGTGAACCCCTGTCTCCACTAAATATACAAAATTAGTTGGGCTTGGTGGTGTGCACCTGTAGTCCCAGCTACTGGGGAGGCTGAGGCAGGAGAATTGCTTGATCCCAGAAGGCAGGGGTTGCAGTGAGCCAAGGTGACACCATTACATTCCAGCCTGGGCGACAGAGTGAGACTCCATCTTAAAAAAATAAAAAAGAAAGAAAGAAAGAAATACCAATGCCTGGTTGACATTCATAAACTTAATTCTTTTGTAGAATATTACATTAATTTTTTAAAATATAATAGAAAATATTGGGAAATTTTTCTTTTTCTCTTTTTCTTTCTTTTTTTTTTTTGAGACAGAGTCTCTGTCGCCCAGGCTGGAGTGAGTGCAGTGGCACAATCTCCGGTCACTGCAAGCTCTGCCTCCAGGGGTCACGCCATTCTCCTGCCTCAGCCTCCTGAGTAGCTGGGACTACAGGCGCCCTCCACCACTCCTGGCTAATTTTTTGTATTTTTTTTTTTAGTAGAGATGGGGCTTCACCTTGTTAGCCAGGATGGTCTCTATCTCCTGACCTCGTGATTCACCCATCTCAGCCTCCCAAAGTGCTGGGACTACAGGCATGAGTTACCGCGTCTGGCTGGGAAACTTTTCTAATGTTTTCATTTAAATTTAGTCTAAGAGGGTGGATAACATCTTTAGTTAACATTGATCTTTACTTTCCAGCTTTTTTCTAAGAAAATAGTTGTGTTTTGTAATTATTTCTCTTTCTTTTAGAACTGAACGTACCTTTTCCAAGGAAAATAAATTCACTGCCTCTTGTTGATCGAACAATTCAAAATGTACTAGAGAGTAGTAAATGAAAGCAATAAAAGAATCAAGGAAACTCTTTTTAAAACAGTAGTATAATAAAATCCAACCTCTCAGGCAGGATGGACCCTCTTAGGCTGAGATTATTGTAGGTATAAAAAAGAAGAAAGAAAAAAGTAATTAACTGAAGTAGCCTCATTAAAAGGGAGAAGTGCTCTCAAATGTGGATGAATAAAATGTAAGCTACTTGATTCAGGAAATACTTGTACAATGAGTAGCTAGAGTTAACTCAGTACAATGGAGAAAGTAGTAATCCATTTAAAGTTTTCAAGAAAAACAACCACACTATGTTCCTTAAGTTTGCACATGAGTTGAAATCCCTAATTTATCTCTGAGGTTAGCAAAATCAGCACATTAGTCAGTACCCTTGTATTGCTTTATCTAAATATTTAACACGTTTTATTTCTGGAAACTCTTTATTTTTTTACTTATTTTGGCTCTTGGAATGAAAAGTTCAGACCTTTCATTTTGAAAATTGGGTTTCCAAGAGGATTTTGTAAGGATAGTTTGCATTTTAATCTTGAATTTTATTTACGAAGCTCTGGGTAGAATGGAACCTGGAAGGTAGAGAGAACAGACAGTTCGGTGTTTGAACTCTTCCTGAGTTCTGGGCGCCCTCACAAGTACAGTCGATTGAAGTCATTCTGTGGCTCAAGGAAACCATATAAATGTACCATGGTGACATTCCCTTGTTTTCCAGGGAAACACACCAAGTCAAAACTGACACATAGCACTTGTAGAAGGCTTGTATGGACTAGGACACAGAGTCTGTATTTTTCAGGGCAGGTTCTGAGTTCAAGATTTTGATCATCTTAAAGAATCTGAAGCAGGGAAGAGAACTGTAATCAAATGAGCCCCATAAATAAGGCAGATGGTCCCCAGAAGCAGATTAAATAGTGCTAGTTTTATCCTAGTAAGAAGAAATGAGGGAAAAAAGAAATGTATTGTTAACTTAGCTTAGTTAGCTTTAGGTAATGTTTCAAAGATAAAACTTGTGCTCTGTTTATGAAGACATCATTAAAATTTTGGTCCAGCAAATGCACTGAAGAATAATATAAACATACAGCCACAACAAAAATATATTAAGTTCTTAAATTATATATGTGTGTGTATATATATATGTGTGTGTATATACACACAATTTTTTTAAAGACAGGGCCTCGCTCTGTCACCCGGGCTGGAGTGCAGTGGTGCAATCATGGCTCACTGCAGCCTCAACTTCCCAGACTGAGGTGATTCTCTTACTTCGGCCTCCCAAGTAGCTGGGACCACTGGCATATGCCACCACACCCAGCTAATTTTTTATTTTTATTTATTTATTTTTTTGTAGAGATAAGGTCTCTCTATGTTTCCCAGGCTGGTCTTGAGCTCCTGAGCTCATCCCACCTCGGCTTCCCAAAGTGCTGAGATTACAGACAAGAGCCACTGTACCTGGCCCTTAAAGGCAATATTAACCATAAACCAGAGGAAAAAAAAAGTGTAACATTCTTCTTAAAGCTATGCTCCTGTACAAAAGCTTGAATCAATTTCCTTAATATTTGCTGCTCTTAATTAGAGCAGAATTATAAAGGAGTGCTTTATTTAAAAATAAAGTATATTAGTTAGAGTTAGGTTTTGCTGCATATAATAGAAAATAAAAGACAAAACAAGTGTCTTAGACACAATAAAAGTTTGTTTCTCTCTCATCTAAAAGAAGTTCAGAGGTAGGCAGTCTGGGGCTGGATGGTGGCTCCATAATATCAACACAAACCTTTCTGTTGTGCCATCTTCTGTGTGTGGCCTTCACCTCATGCTCAAAATGGCTGCCAGAACACTCATCATTACATCCACATTCTAGGCAGCAAGTATGAGGAAAATATGAAGCAGGGCTTACTTCTTCTCTTCAAGGAGGAGTTCCAGAAGTCTCACACAGAATGTCCCCTACAACCATTGGCCAGAAGATAGTCACATCACAGGCCCACGCCTAGCTGCAAGGGAGTCTGGTAAATGTAGTCTTTTAGCAGGGTGTGTTGTCTGTTCAAATAAAACTGGGTGTAATTACTAAGGAAGAAGGGCAGAATGGATAATGGAGTAAACTACCAACAATCTCTGCCGTTTAGAGAATTCCAAAAGACACCAAGAAATGAAAGTTGATGTATTTTATGCAATAGATGTGTTCCTAAGGAATTTCTGAAAGTGCATTATTATTATTTTACATATTGAACCATAATCTGGATATATGAGATGCACATCAGGAGTATGCTGGTGAATAATTTTCTGACTTAAAAAGACTTTTTTTTTTTTTTTTTTCTGACAGGCTCTGTCTCCAGGCTCGAGTGCAGGGGTGCAATCTCAGCTCACTGCAACCTCCGCCTCCCAAGTTAAAGCCATCCTCCCCACCTCAGTCTCCTAAGTAGCTGGTACTATAGTCACACACCACCATGCCTGGCTAATTTTGTATTTTTGGTAGAGACAGGGGTCTCACTATGTTGCCCAAGCTAGCGTCAAACTCCTGAGCTTGAGCTCAGCCTGTCTTGGCCTCCTGAAGTGCTGGGATTACAGGTATGAGCTACCATGCCTGGCAAGAAACAATTTATATTTCTAATAATATATACCTAGTTTGTACATTTTTCCCTTTGATTTTCTTAAAAGTAGATCTGATCTCAAAATTAGTTTCCCTCAAAAATGGCAAAGAACAAGACGGCTTTCTGATTTCTGATTACCTTTCACCTCTCACTCCATCCTCAACTACCATCACCAGATGTATTTTTCCCTCCATTCTTCTTTCCTTTTAGGCAAGGTGAAACTATTTAAAAGGCAACTGGCAATTTAAAAAATGTTTCTATTATATGGTGAGGAGGGGAAACACCAAGGGCAGTGGCCTCTGATATCTGAGGAATGTTAGCCTTTTGAAGAGCTAGTCCAATATAGAAAATGGAAAAACTGTGCATGGCAGTCAGGATAATGGTATGAGCATAGCAGGAGGACACAGTTTTAGAGAATCAGGGGGAAATTACTGTGCAGAAATGAGTGATTGTGTTATTAACAGAAACTATTCTATTGGTTAAAAAGAAAGTGTGGGAATACTGCATTATGAGAAAAGATTTGCTTGTTTCCCCAGCTTTAGTTCCCCCTAGTATATAAAGTATTGAAGGTCTTACTGCAACAAGTCAAGGAAGCTGATTATATCAGGAATTGCTTAACATTTGTAGTGGTTCTATTTTATTTACTTTGACATAGGGGTCAGGAGGGGAAGGAAACTAGGAGAGAGAAAATTCTGAGAATTTTCCTCCAAGTTCTGTATTTCATGGCTGCAAGACTCTTTACAAACTCTAAGGTAACATTGTAAAATAATAATAATAGTAGCAAAACACATAAAACATCAGAGTGTTAATTTCTCATTTACCAAGACTTAATAACTAGTTTTTAAAAAAATATTGAGGCTGGGCACAGTGACTTGCACCTGTAATCCCAGCACTTTGGGAGGCTGAGGCAGGTGGATAACTTGAGGTCAGGAGTTTGAGACCAGCCTGGCCAACATGGTGAAACCCCATCTCTACCAAAAATACAAAAATTAGATGGGCATGGTGGTGCGTACCTGTAGTCCCAGCTACTTGGGAAGCTGAGGCAAGAGAATCGTTTGAATCCAGGAGGTGGAGGTTGCAGTGAGCCAAGATTGTGCCACTGTATTCTAGCATGGGCAACATGGCAAGACTCTGTCTCAAAATAAAATAAAATAATTGAAATAGGCTTGAATATGTGAACATTTCGGTTAAGAATACTAACCTAAAGGAAGTCTTATGCATACCTCCTTAAAGCAATTGATTTTACAACAAAGTTAACCATAGGTAAAAGAATGCTTTTTTGCAGTGACATGTTATTTAGCCTACTTATTTTGAAATGTCTCAGTCTACATTCTCATGAGAAGTAAGCAATAATAAACAATTAATTCACTCTTTCATTCTGTCATTTATGAATGCCTGTGTGTACCATATGATGGCTAAACCTGAGAATCCAGGGTCAAAGAGCTACTATGTTGGAGGAGAAAGGCAATTAGTACAGAGATGTTGACAATTGTAGAGTGAATAAATACTGTGCCCTGTTTGAGTTACATACCTAATGCACAGTTGTTTAATAGCAGTTCTTTTCTTTCCCATTAAGAAGAATCTAAGTACTCTTTCCCCAAAAAACCTGGCTAGGTGGTGTTTACTAGGTGTGCCAGGCACTCTGCCTTTCCAGATTCACTCCCACTCTGCTCTGTGCCCTGAGAGACTGTGTACTGCAACCTTACCCTCAGTGGGATAACTCAAGCTTGTCCAACTCACAGCCTGTGGGCTGCATGCAGCCCAGGACAGGTCTGAATGTGACCTAATGCAAATTCATAAACTTTCTTAAAACACTGAGGTTTTTTTGTGATTTTTAAAAAGCTCATTAGCTATGTTACGTGGGGACCAAGACAATTCTCTTCTTCCAGTGTGGTCCAGGAAAGCCAAAAGATTGGACATCCCTGGATAACTCATTGGGAAACCCAGCAGGAGATTGGAGGCTGGGAGAAAAGTGACAGTGGGTGTTTATTTCTCCACGTTGGAACCTGCTGGGTCTCTGTGGTTGGAATGTCCCTCTACTGAGGGCTACAGCTCCCGTCAGGCAATCTCTCCTCTTTATAGCTACAGCTACTCTCTGGTTCCAGCCACTGTGCTCCCTCGCCCCTTCAGGCCTAGAGGTGGTGGGAATCTTCTGGAAATCCCCCTCATTGCTAGCCCCTGGGGGCCCCAATATCCCTTCATGGATTCAATGTAATCCTGCCCACACCTCCATTAAATAGTTAAACGGTTCCTTCCTAACATACTCCTCAATTACTCCAAGATTGCACCATCTGTTTCCTGCTGGTATATTGAGTTTACCTTATGTACATGAGGTATATTCAAGTGTCTTGAACTTCGCTTTGATTCTTCGTTTGATTAATGGTGCCTTTTGATTAACCAAAGCCCTGCTGGGCTTTGAGTCAGCATATGGATTGCAACCCCAAGAATTATTTCAGGATTTAGAAGGACGTTTCATTTTGTGTGATGTTCTTTTAAAAGCTTTCTTCAATCACAAAATCCATAGGCAACCACTAATGTGAAACATTAAGTTTTACTTAACTTTTTGGGACTCTTATTTCTATAACATTTAGACCCTGACAAACGAAAGAGGAATGCACAGATGACAAGCAGGTGTACCTGTTGACTGGCAGCCTTTGGGAATGTTAAGAGGATTATCGTGGAAGGGAAAGTGTGCTAGTTAAATAGATTGTTTGTGTGCTTGCTTCTCTGGGCGGAGCTGACTGACATTTCACTAATCTATTTAGCAGATTGAAGTTCCGGAACAAAGCAAAAGTAAAAAATACCACATTCAACAAAGCCAGGTCTGTGAGTAAAATTATGTAATTGATATATTATAATTTTGATAAATCTGATCTTTCTTCCTTTTTAACCAAAGTCATCCCACTTTCAATAATAAGTCAGAATTCTGTTTCTCAGAAGCTCCTCTATGTAGATTGGGCCAATTGGAAGGCCATCACAAAAATATAGTATTTTTATTGTAGCACCCCATAGCACTACCAAGAATTTTTACATAGAAAATTTCCAAGAGAAACACAGAATTTCCTTGGTGATTTTTTTTGTACACCCCATGCATTTTTTTGGAGGCAACTCTCTTTCTAGTTTGTATATGTTACATATCTAGTATATTTTGGCCTCATAGGTTTTCTGCAGTATACTCTGTATAAAGTAACTTTTAAGTTTATAAAATACTTTTTTGAGCATTTAGGTCTGCTGTGCAGATAATAAAAGAAAAAAATCACAATCAATGGCATTTTTGAGCACTCATTATTGCCAGGCAGTATTCTAAGCACTTTTATGTGAATTAACACATTCCTCACAGCCCTGTAAATAAGTTGAGGAAATTAGGGCACAGAGAGGTTATGTGACTTGCCAAGGTTGCACAGCCATCAATGATGGAAGGAAGCAGGCAGTCTGACCCTGGAACTGTGCCCTTAACTAACTGTGCTCTTACTAACTCTTCCTTTCTAAGTCCAAATCCTAGTGTAGATGAATGAAAGAAAAGTGACTTCTAAGTAGCATTTGAATGGGATTTCTTATTGCTCCAGCACCTTCACAGAGACTGGTGTGTATGTAAGCATCCTTAGTGTATATGTACAGTATTTATAAATATGTAAGTATATAAAGTCCTTTCTTGAATGAATACAGTCAGGGAAAAATAAACTAGCATAAATGCAAAGCATTCTCCTTCATAATCACAGCATTTCTGGCTGGTTGGATAGAGAGAGGAGATAGGAACTCTACTGCTTACCGGCTATGTGTCGTTAGGCAGATCCAAAACCTAACTGCACCGCACTTCCATTTCTTTATCTGTAAGATGCAGATGGTAATCACTTCATCATTTTAATGCACCCATTTTAGCAGCATGCCGACAGCATGGAGCTGTGGTTCTCAACTTTGGCTGCACATTGGAATCACCTGGGGACCTCTAAAAACCAATACTTGAGTCCCACCCTCAGAAATCGGGAATTAATTGGTCTGAGGGGCCTGGGCAATGGAATTTTTAAAAGCTCCCCAAGTGGTCCTATTATACAACCAGACTTGGAACCATTATCCTAGAACACCAGTTCTCAGTGTGTGGTCCCTGGACCAACAGCATCTGTATCACGTGGATCTTATTAGAAATTCAAATTCTCAGGCCCCAAACCTACTGGATCAGCAGCTCTGGGGGAAGACCGCAGCAATCTCTTTAACACGCCCACCAGACAAACCTGATGCATGTTCAAGTTTGAGAGCCACTGTCCTAGAACAACAGATAACACTCAGCACAACTGTGATCAGTTCAGCTGTCCTCTCAGATGAGTGGTAACTCTAATCCAGGCCAACTACCTCATGCTGTGACTAGGACCAGCAGGTCAGAAAGAGACCTAATGTCCAACTATATTGAGTTTTAATTTATTTTGCAAACCCTTATATAGACCTTATCCTGAGCCATGAACTGCTATAATTACTTTTTATGTATAACTCTTTTAATCCCAGTAAACAACCAAAGCACTGTTGTTATCCACATAGAGAACTGAAACACAGAAAGGTTAAGTCACTTGCTCAAGGTCACACAGTCAGTTAACATCAGAGCCAGTATTTGAACCCACGCAGTCTTTATTCATTGTTTAACAAATAAAATTAGTTTGTTGCTTTAACCACTCGGGAGTGAGGGCCCTCTGTCAAAACAAATCCCTCGTAGAAAAAAAAATTGTAGCCCACCTGCCCATTGAGGGGCTCTGCAGCTTTTTTTCACTTTCCGCTTTCCATAACCCTGTCTTTGAGATTTCTTAAGTACCGAAGGCAAATTACTCATTAAAGATTTGCGGTAACCCTAACCTCTAAAACGTGTTAAGTGTAATATATATATATATATTTTTAAGTGAGACAGAGTCTCACTCTCTCGCCCAGGCTGGAGTATGGTGGTGTGATCTCGGCTCACTGCAACCTCTGCCTCCCAGGTTCAAGCTCAGCCTCTTGAGTAGGTGGGATTAGAGGCGCACACCACCATGTCCGGCTAGTTTTTGTAGTTTTGGTAGAGACAGGGTTTCACCATGTTGGCCAGGCTAGCCTTGAACTCCCGGCCTCAAGTGATCCACCGCCTCAGCCTCCCAAAGTGCTGGGATTACAGGAGTGAGCCACTGTGCCAGGACTCTTTTTTTTTTTTTTTTTCTTGAGACGGAGTGTCACTCTGTCACCAGGCTGGAGTGCAGTGGCACAATCTCGGCTCACTGAAACCTCTGCCTCCAGGGTTCAAGCAATTCCCCTGCCTCAGCCTTCTGAGTAGCTGGGACCACAGGCGCCAGCCACCACGCCTAGCTAATTTTTTTGTATTTTAGTAGAGACGGGGTTTCACCATGTTGGCCAAGATGGTCTTGATCTCCTGACCTCGTGTTCCGCCTGCCGCCTGCCTTGGCCTCCCAAAGTGCTGGGATTACAGGCGTGAACCACTGTGCTCGGCCGCCCAGCCTCTTTTTTAAAGTTTGTGTTTGTGTGGAATGTGCACTAAAGATTTTGGGCAAAGTTAAAAATGGAAAGTTGCATGGCTTTAAGGGGGAAAGAGGCAAGACAGGTAGAGTTAAATGTTACCTGGGTGACATCACAGGGCCCCAAAAGATGCTCAGGACACATCAAACCAGTAGGCGGCGCTCTTCTCAGCCCTAACGAGTGTTTTTACAGTCACCCCAAAATAAAGCTTCTACAGAATAAAACTGTTTAAAATAACCGTTGCTTATACAAATATAATCTTTCTGTTGCCCTTTCAGTACTATTTTAACCTCTGTGATTTTGTTATTGTTATGGAAATGATTTCCTTTCATTTACATTTCTGACCTCTGTTTACTTCACAGCAGAAAGACTATTCTAGTTTTCTATCAAGAAAAAGCAAGATTAAGATAGCTAAAGATGACTGCGTTTTTGGGAACATAAAGGAAGAAGACCTCTGAAGAAAACTCTCATATTTTAAAAATCCTTGGAGGCTATCTTAAGACAGTGAAAGAACTTGGGGATTCAGGTGGGCTACCTACCATCAATGGAGGAAATTTGACCTCTTCCCATTGTTTTGGCATTAAGATAGACTGTATTCATCAAGATATTATACCACAGCACTCTATGGAAATCTCAAGATTAGAAAAAAAGGAACCATGTTATAGAGTTAGTTTTTATTTTATTTTTGCACTTCGTCATGACCGTATAGAGTTTGTTTTTAATGTCTCATAAATGACAAGTGGCAAATTCAAATCAACTCATATGAAGCTCATTCTATTTTTTCTCTAAAATACATGTTTATGTGGCTTCATGAAGTCTTTTAGGTGTTCTGGATTTACATAAATGAAAGTCTCATAAAATATCATAAATGTATTTTGGGTCAATTTCTAAAGATGTGACTCTTCAATGGAGGAAAATATGGCTCTAAGAAGTGGAATCACTGAAAAAGAAACCTGGGTTTCTCTGATCTATCCACACAGATTTAGAGCAAGGAGGTGATGAAATACTGATTTGTTTCCTCACAGCAGTCTGAGCCTACCAATATGGATGTAGTCAAAGTAAAAGGCTACCCCGTTCTCTGCTTGACCATTGTTATGATTGTATTCTGTCCTTAGAGTACTGAAAGCAGTTCGATAATCAACATGCTATTTGGAATGTTTTAATTTGGAAAGCAGTAAGGCCCTGCACCTGATATCAGATACCTTATAAGTCTCTTAGCTTTAAAACTATGTATACTTTCTCACAAGGTTTTTCCTTATCTAGCTTCATTTCTCTCATGGTAATTAATGTAATTATGTATAGAATTAAGACCACAATAAAGGAGATGATCAGAGGAATCTGTATAGTGTAATTAGAAAAAGTGCAATATTCTAATGTTCTAACTGGGGTGTACACCTAATTATATAATAAATACAAAATAATTCTAGTGAATATAAAATTTGTTGATTAAAATTCCATGAATAATCTTTTTGAAATATAGAATATATTAAAAATTCTATAATATTTATAAACATATGCCTATAGCCGTAACTCCTAGTACTGGAATTTTTTATTTTTAAATCTTAGGCTGTAGTAGGATGTTTTTGCAGAGACTCACAAACATGTCAAATCATCCTAAGTGAATGTATTAATGGACTAGGATCCTCTTCAGATTAAAATGGAAGTTTATCTACTATTTTGCCAATTTAAGAGTAGTCAAGCTCTCTCTCTTTTTAATAGCAAACACCTACACAATGGAAGAGGCTATAAGAGAAAACAAGAATGCAAAGAATTGTATTTGGGATAAGAAGACACATAAATTGAACCGTATATAACTGCTGTCCTTGTAGGCCAAAAATAGTTTTATGTTGACAATTTCATGTTTCAACTTGATATATAAGAGAGTGAGTAATCCCAGACAACATGTGGTTGGTATTAAAAGTGTGGTATGTGGGCCGGGCACAGTGGCTCACTCCTGTAATCTCAGCACTTTGGGAGGCCAAGGCAGGAGGATCACTTGAGCCCAGTAGTTCAAGACCAGCCTGGGTAACATGAGACCCAATATCTATTAAAAAAACAACAACAACAACAACAACATAGTGTGGACCTGCATGTCAAAGGAAGTCGGGGCCATCAGGAAAGCCCCAAGGGGAAGAGGGACTTTGAAGAATGAGTAGATCCATGTGAGCAAAGGTGGGGGCACCCTAGAGAAAGGGAAGGATAGTTACAGATGGGAGAATACTTGTGACATTGCAGAAAAAATGAGTAAACCTACTCTGTGCTAGCGCAGTTTTAGGTTAAGGGAGTAGTTAGGAGATAAAGCTAAGAAGTGGGATGGATCAGAAATATATGCATATCCTAATGCAGCATCTCCACAATATATGTAAAGCAGTTTATCCTTTGAGGATGACAAAAACAGAAGCATTTTATTTAATAGTTTTTTTTTTCCAAACATTGAGATTATCATCAGTGTCAGAATATGAGAAGAAAAATACAACTGATGACATGCATTCTACAGCATATAATTATAACATGAAGAATAAAGGAACTAGGGTAGCACCTGATAAACAAAACAAAAATTCAAACAAAATTCTAAACTTATTTTGTAAAATGATACATTTCTTATTAGTTAAGTGAGAGAAGAAGGAGCTATTAGCCTTTTTCTGGGATTACTGGGCCTAGTTTTATCTAGGAATTTAGGAGTTTAAATCACTTCTGGATCAAAACACTTGATCATTGCGTAAAAAGTCAGAACTTCAGCTGCCAGAGTGAGCTCCCCAGCTGCAGGGAGTGGGAGAAGATGGCGAGTGAGACCCCCTCATCACTCTGGGAGGTGAGGACCTCACCCTGCGGCAGTCCCTGCCACCGGCACAGCTGCCCCAGCACTGGAGAAGCTGTCAGCTGGTGCATGGCTTTATCAGGTAGGTGACTGTTGATATCCTTCAGTAACTGCTAATCCTAAGGGGTGTGACATGGCTTTGCCAATTACCAGCCTTTGTCCACAGATTCACTCCTCATATCCCTGCAAAAATGGTCCCCAGGCAGTCACATTTTCTCCTGCCATGTCTATGTCCACCATCACTTCTTTCCACTTCTAGACAGTCATATAAGATTTTACTGCTGTTTATACTCCTAAAATAACTAGCATAAGCAATTTGCCCATAGGCAAACACAACTGAGTTTGGAAATTTCACACAAACCATAATGAGAATAACTATTGGACAGAGGTGATTAAATTGTGGTCAGGCCCCACCGAGCCCCCTTGGACCTATGGAGGGAAGCATGTGCAGGTTTGATTGAAGAGCTGACAGCAGAGAAACATGCTACAGGGAGTGGCAGTGCCCAGAAGAGTTCCACAATAACATGGAAATGGTTTCTAGGGGATCATGCCACCTGGGGAATGCAAGAAGGAGATACTCATGAGCAGGGAGCCTCTTTACCCCCAGGACTGACGCAAACTGTGAGGTGCTGCTGGTTTCTATAGACATTTGGACAGTGCCCTGTGAACAGCTCTTGATTGACCAACAAGGAGCTGCTCTGTTTACAGAAAGCATTTCCAAAGTGAATGGACAACATCCTCCTGTTTGGAAGGCTGCTGCTTTGATCAAAGAAGGTAAAAACAGATCAGCTCAGTGGGCTGAACTCCATGCTGTTTTTCTTACAGTAATGGAAGAAATGAACAGTAGTAGAAGCCCCCATGTTTGGGTTTTTACTGATTCATGGGCAGTGACCAATGACCTGGCCATACACTCAGGCAAGAGGACAATGGAAATCTGGTCTATTAAAGGAATGTCCATATGGGATATAGCCCTATAGATATTTGAGGGGTGCGCTAAAGGAGAATAAGTCAATGCCCATCAGAAGAACTTCCTCCCCAGGCTGGGAAGGTGACTGGAATAGACAAGCAGCTATTTCTGTGTTTGCCCTTGTGGTCGCCACCTGGGTCCCTGAAGGGAGTGGATATAGGAATACTGCAGAGTATTATCTGTACTGCAGAGTACAGAGATGGGCTGAATCTAAACATGTTCATTTTGCATCCTTGCAGGCACAGAAGAACTGTCCTGTTTGTCAGCAAGAGAGACAGAAACTGCCGATGGCTGTGGGGCAGATTGCCTGGTGGGAAGGCCCTGACCAGAGCTGGCAAGTGAGACTGATGCTGGTAGCCCTAGGGGGGCTACAAATGGGTCTTGACAGGAATTAGATGCTGACTCTGGACTGGGCTTTGCTTCCTTAGTGGAAGATGAAAATGCTCAGAGCACCATTAAAAAAAAAAAAAAAAACAAGAACTGAAGACATGCATGGATTTGTACAGACAACTGTCATTTCTTCAGACCAAGGAACAATGTATAAGCCATAATATCCAACGATGAGCAGAGAGATACCTCCTTAGAGTAATAGTTTAGTAATAGAGAAGTAGAACAAGTATAAAATGTTGGTTGTCTAGAACAGGGAGATAAAGTATGCAGGGCTGGCTTACACGCCTTCACAGGTAGGTGCTCACACTCAACATGGGTGGGACTAAAGGAGTGTCCCCGCTAGATTTTTCTGGTTTTTAATTTTTTTTGGTTGATCTGGGGGAGAGGGGTTGGGGAGGATGCTGATAGCACTATGCAATTCTTGCCAAGAGAGGAGTACACTGGTATAATGACTATAATTTTCTCTTTCTTCCCCAAATAACCTCAATTTTTTTTTCTCTCCTCTATCTGATGCAATGATCCTAGAACCAGGGCTACAACTACAAGTGCTGGAAGCAAGAATGATTTCTAAGCAAGAAGCTGTAACTACAGTTTTAAAGTTTGTATCTGAATTCCTAACAGGATAATGGGGGGCGGATTGTGCCTTCACCGCATCTAAGAAATTGGGATCAAGAGTGAATGCCGCTATGTTCTCTGGTGGCAAAACTAGCTCACTAGTTCTGCACCTGTGTAACCTTACTCTATCTGAATGGCAGCGGACTGAGGAGGAGCTACTTGCTAGACTAATATTTCTGCCCACCATCTAAACCAGCACAGTGGCAATTCTAATGTCCCTTCCAAAGGTGAAAAAGTTTGAGTATTAATGGAGAGAAGGAGAAATAGTAGCTGAGAGTAAAGAAAAAAATGGTGATTAATAGAAAGAAATTCAATATTACATTAACACCTCAAAAGAGTCTCAGAGCAAAAGATGACATGATGTCTCAGCTCGGTTATTCTAGATGCCTGAAAGGGTGAGGCTATACAGTTGCCAAGACCACTCCTGTTTTTGGCACCTGACAAGATTGAGAGGAAACCTGCAAACCTGAGTGACTTTACTCTGGGAGACATTCATACACTATGATGGACTGGACTAATTATTAATTACTACATGGGATTCTAGTAATAAGGCAGTATCTTTTAAATTATATATCCTTTTTTAAAAATTATTTTTCTGTAGAGACAAGGTCTTGCTATGTTACCTAGGCTGGTCTCAAACTCCTGGGCTGAAGTGATCCTTCTACCTCTGCCTCCCAAAGTGCTGGAATGACAGGCGTGAGCCCCCATGCCTGGCCTCTATATTCTTTTGATGTAAGGGATCTGTGTTTGAAAACCAGGGGGTGGCCTGATAGTTTAGAGTAATCATTTAGTAATAAAGAAGTAGAACAACTAATTAGAGCATTGGTTGTCTAGAATCGGGAGATAAAAGTATGGAGGGCTGGCTTACATGCCTTCACAAATATGTGTTCACACTCAACATGAAGGGACTAAAGGACTGTCCCCATCAGTGGCCGGTGGTGTTATGATATATATGTGTTTTCATCCATGGTTCCTGGCTTCTAACTCCTAAAATCCCTGGGACATATATATATATATATATGCTAACATCCTCCCCAGAACTAGGTCTCAGTCTACATCAGCATATGGTCAGCATACAGGTTGCACACATCCCTATATGGACATTTAAGCAAATTTTGCATTAAATATTTCAGTTAGAAATTATCTTAAGCTTACCCTCAAAGTAAATTTGAGATGAGCTTGGTGATCCTAATTGTGGAAAAAACAAGTAGGTGCCAACCTTTGATGGTAAAACAGTGGCAAAATGTTTCTAAAATACCAAACAAAGGAAAACTACAAAAGAAAACTGAGCAATAGAGGCAAGTCTACCTTCTCAGCTGCTGTTTTAGCTGTCCCTTGTCCTGCAGTGCGCATTCAGTGGCCCATCAGGCAGGCTGAGGGGAGTGGCTTGTGTGGACACAGGACTGTGGAAGACGGGAGTTCTCTCCTTCACAGGGTGGTCTCCTTCCTGTCACCCACAGTCCAAGAAAAATGTCAAAAAAGTAAGTACGATTTTCTGTTACACAAAAAAAGACATGCTGAGTTAACTTTAAAAAAGTATGGCTAACCAATGATTTCTTACAAGGTGGCTTTTAAGCTTTGTAATTGTACTTTCTCCCCACTTTATTGAGGTATAATTATATTTTGCTCATAAGTTACTTTATAATAG